ACATTGCATTACAGTTTGTGGCTAAAATGCACTGAGAAAAGTAAGAAAAACAAAAAATAAATTAGATTTTAAATATATTAATTTTAATAAAGTAAATAATATCAGTTATAATTATTTATTCTTAAAAACCGAATAAAATTAATGTTAAATTTTTTTAGTTTTTCCACAAAGTTTTATTATTAGTTTTTAGTGTTTTAATGTTTTTTAGTCTAGCCCTCCTTGGATCGTCCTTCGTTAGTCCTTAGTCCAAACACACACACACACACCGACACTGTCACACTTACAAGCGCAGAAACACTCACACACAGACAGTCAAATTGCCGGGCCGTGTGCACGTGTCTGGCAGCCTTCGCTGGGGATTACAGGCGACTCGTTCAGTGAAAGTGAGCCGCCAGGATCCAACAGGACTCAGTCAGTTGGTCGTCGTCTGGTCTGGTCTGGTGTGGTCTGGCCGTCACCGCCCCAAAGTCCACCCCTCCCTCCGATCCCCATAACCCCTCGAAAAATGTTGCATTCGCCAGAAGTTTTCTATAATTTGTGTTGCCTTCTTGGGGGTGGCTTAACGGCTTCGTTCTGCTTCTTTTTTTGTGGCGGCTGCGGTTTATGCAAATTAGCAAAGTTAACATTTGCCAAATTGTCGAAAAATTTCATTTGGCCAGCTCATCCTCTCCAGGATTTGGCTTTGTTTGTTTTAACCTCAAAAAGAGAATGCAAAATAATATCGGTTACCAACAGTTTTCATGCATAAAACAAAAAAGGAAATACAACTTCAAGAGGAAACAAAAGGGGTGCTTCGGAGATAGATAGAAAGTCGATCCACAAATCGTTTAAGGTATTCCGCTTAAGAATCTGATGAATATTGGCCAAAATATGGACTTCGGAGTGGCTCATAATGTCTGTTCCATGCATTTTCCGCATTTCCATAAAAAGTGACAAAAAATCTTAAAAATATTAAGTTCTCAGATTTTGATGCAGATTTGCGAAGAATCGATCCACAAATCGTTTAAGGTATTCCGCTTAAGAATCGGATAAATATTGGCCAAAATATGGACTTCGGAGTGCCTCATAATGTCTGTTCCATGCATTTTCCGCATTTCCATAAAAAGTGACAAAAAATCTTAAAAATATTAAGTTCTCAGATTTTGATGCAGATTTGCGGAGAATCGATCTACGATTCGTTTAAGGTACTCCACTTAAGAATCGGATGAATATTGGCAAAGATATCCTTTTTGCTAAGAGGTCGTAGATGCACCCATGCATTTTTCAAAATATTATGCTATGATATGAGGTTTTCTAAAAGACGCCTTATGGTTAGTTCCCTCATAAAGTTTCCATCAATGATAGAAATAATTTTGTCAAAGCAAGAAATTTCAAATGTTTTATTTTTATTATTTTTACAATTTAGAATTTTCTCTACTTAAAAAATGAAAAAAAAACGATTTATGCGGAAGTATGAAAATGCGAAAGAAGAAAGATCTGAAATCAAAGCGTATTCCGATTCTTTTGATCAGCAATGTGTTAAGATATAGATGTGACGCTCTTCAGAAATCTCCCTATATCCACCCAGCACACCCCACGCCCTTCCCTCAGTCCCACCTTTCCGGCCATCTTCATTAAGGCAGATTCCGCGGTTGACACCCGGCCAAGTGACAGAATGCACCTGCACCGACGGCGAGAGTTCTTCCAGGGGATTCGGGAGGCCGAGTGCTGTGCGGGTGTTTGGGGTGGTGGTGCTATCTATCATAATTAGATTTGGGTCTGTGCTGAAATGTCGTAACGGGAAAGAAATGCGTGCCCATAAATTAAGTGCGGAGCTATTCCAGACCGCATTTCCATCCCACTGACAGGGCAGCAAATAGAGCGCCTAATAGGATTTTATTTAATTTCCGTCGCCCAAGGATTTGCCTAATGAGTTTTTTAACCTGTAGAGAAGGGACATGGAGCCAGGGGAGCAAGGGATCCAGAGAAGGAGGGGTCAAACTGTGCCCAAGTGAGCAATTGCCATGCTGAGCTATGGAATATTTGAATAGGAGCAACCTTTGGATCAGGTGGAGCAACTCCCTCTCAGTGAATAAGCAAACATAAACACCGGAGATGACGGCGACTTCTGTTTGATAAACACAGTTCTGAAAGGATGCAAATAATACAGGGAGAGAAATAATATAAAACCTTATTTTGTTACAAATAACTGGATCCTTTGGCCTTGGACTAAAGTTTTTCTCTCTCTTTAGCTGAAATCTACTCGTCCTTTGTCTGGTTTCTAGGATACAGATACTCCCTTGTTATTGTTTGTGTTGCCGATGCTGCCTGTTTGGGTTTAGCGAACTTAGCTGGGATTTTCTTTGTGTCTGCCCCACGAATGGGGCATGGGGCATGCCCCAAACCTCCACCGAATCAAAAAAGAAGGGGAGAGACAATGGATTCAGCCAAGTGAATTGCCCTGGGAACGCACTTTGGTCGGTATATCTTCGGTGTGAAATTTATGCTGCACTTGCTGCTAATTTAATGCTGTTTTTAAAATAAAACATTTTTTTTGTTGGGGAATGGGGCGCCTCAAAATGCAATTATCTGCAAGTGGAATTGATATGATTTGTGGGCAGATTTGCATAAATTAGCATACAATGCGTGCCAGTAGCTGGCTCTTAACCATAATTAGATGTATGCACTTGTGTTTCTGCCGTTTGTTCAGGTAATTAAATGCAAACGGCATTCCCAGGATAGAGTCTCTCATGAAACTATAAAAAATAGGTACGTTGCGTAACTGTAACATTGTTGAAGACATTGTTCACACAAATAATGATGCTTCTATATGTTAAACTATGCATAAAGTAACTAAATTAATGTTCTATTCAAATACCAACTAACAGTCATTTTCCAATCAACAAATTCAATAAAAAGCCAATTCCCGACTGTCTGTATCGATTCAATTAAATTTATTCAACAAAGCAATTGAAATTCAATTGGTGGATAGAGAAAAAATGTCAAACATAGAATTTATATAAATTGTAGATGTATTAAATGATATAAATGACTTCCTATCCCTCGAAAAGTACGCAGTAAATTCAATCAGAGTAAGCCCACAAATAAATGGCGAATCCTTTCGCTCATATTTGAATATTTCACATTCCTGTGAAGGGTGGGGCGGTAGAGTACTTGAAACCACCCCACGTAGAACATAACTATGCCTGGAGAAGATTATGAATTCATTTATAATAATTTAGTTAGAGTTATGCGTGGAACACTGAAACCCACTCAACTTGGAATCCCATAATGAGCATATTCTATTAGGCAGAGGCGTCCGATCCACCCTTAAAGTCCTGGGGGTTGCAAATTAACAAAGCCCGAATCATGGACACATGTTGCATTCAAATGTCGTTTGACTGTCGAAGGAGACTGGGTAATGCCGTGTTTTGACAAACCCCAAATCGCCATAGAATCCCTTTGAAGCCGATAAACATTTGCACCCGCAACCACCAAAAAAAAGGGACAACAAACACGAGATTCTTTCCGGGTAAGAAGGGAAGTCAGGACACGGACACTGCATCATCACCGAGTCCGACAGACAGGCAGACAGATCCAGACAGTTGCAGGGCTATGGCAGGAAGTTGTTTGGACGGGCATCAAAAAGCTTTGCCCAGCTTTCCCTTTTCCGGCTTTCAGTTTGGGAGTTTTTGATAACTGACACGCAGTTGGAGAAGCGAAGCCGGGAGATGGATGTATTTATTTAGCATAATGGATTTAAGGCTCTCCGTGTTGGTATAATTGAAAATCGAATCAAATCGCGTGAAATTTAATCAACTTAAGAGTCCTGGAAACTCGAGAACTTCCATCGTGCCAACAGCAACTCCAACTCCATTCGGATAGGGTTCAATGCAATGCAACTCCCCAGGCGAGCGAGGAAATGGAAAAATTAGCACAAATCCATGTGATAAAATGGCTGGCTACTATTTGCTTTGAATTGAGTTACTCCAAAGGGGAGGGCATATACGACTACGGGTGTGAGGGGCTAACTAAGAGCTCAGGAAGCCCATCCAAGTAAATGCCAGAGCTCTTGGTAAAGCTTTAATGCCCGACTAATGCCCGATGCCAGACACATTCCCTCCCCGGTTACCAAAACCATGTGAAGTTCCTAGAAAATACAGTTGAACCTTGATATGACAAAATATTTATTTTTGATCTTAAGAAATACCCAAGAATAATTATATTTGTGAATTGCCAAAAATGGCAATTCCCAAGAAATAAGCAAAGTACCATAAGCGCTGATAAGAAATATATTTTGGAGTTAAATATTTGGTTCATTAAATATAATTTAAATATGTGAAGGCTATATGTGAAACACATATATTAGTGTTTCAATTGTAAAGTTTAAACTAAGTAATACTCATATGTATATGAGTTTCTTGGCATATCTATAGGGTTCTAGTAGATGAGCTTAATAAAGAAACACAAATGTCTAAAAATTACGATTAAAATCAGAAATGATTCCTTCATATTTAATAAGAACATAATCGCAAGCACCACATACTGTTGAGCTCTTGAAATACCCACTATTTATAATGGGCGACAAATGAATCATTATACAAAAACAATGAAAATATTCTAATAATATTAAGTACATATATTTGTGCAATGCATTCTATTATATTAGAGCATACCTAATCTAATAAAAATACATTAAAAATTTTTACTATTGCAAAGAATTAATAAAAGACAGAGTCAATGGTATATATTATAGTTTTTTTAATTTTAAATAATATTTTGAAAAATTGTATTCAAATTTTAAGTGAATAAAATAATTTAAGAGGTATGTTGCGGGGTCACATGAATCACATTCTTGGAATGACTGTTTAAAGTCCTTATCATAACCAATGCCTCATTAAAAATATATTCACATTTTAAAAAAAAGTATAAAAAAAAGAAGTAACAATTGCAGATAAGCCTAAGCGGAGTCCTATAAATTAAAATCTTGAACGAGACTCAGTCCATTCTGTGTGTTCTCTCGACTCAAAACATGGCAAGACTCTGGACTCTTGGAATTGTTCTGCTGGTCTGCATCCTTGAAAGGAGCAATGCTGGAGAACCATGCTCGGATCTTAAGTATTGCATTCACCCATCACAGTGCCCAGAAACCCAGCAAATTATCTACCGAAGCATTGATACGGTATTCTGCAATGACTTTCAAGTTTGCTGCAAGATTGAGGAAAAAGAGGATGAGGATAAAAAGGTAGGACTTTATACATTTCGGTGAATATATTTGAAGCTAATAATTTGGTATTTAGCCATCAAAAGATTACTCACAATGCGGCGTCTCCAATTCTGAAGGCTTAGGCTTTCTGTTACAAACTTCAGAGGAAGCCAGACCTGGAGAATTTCCCTGGACGGTGGCGTTTTTCAACAAGGGACAGTATTTTGCCGCCGGGTCGCTGTTGGCTCCGGGTATAGTCCTTTCAGCTTATCATATCATGAATGAAGTGAATCTGGAAGATCTTCGGATCAGAGCAGGCGATTGGGACCTGAATTCTACCCGTGAGACCTTCAAGCCGCAGGAGAGATCTGTGGCCCGCATTGAGTCCCACGAAGACTTCCGTATTAGGACAGGATCCAGTGATTTGGCGCTATATTTCTTGGAAACGCCCTTCGAACTGGCGGATCACATCCGGACCATTTGCTTACCAGAATCAGACACTAGTTTCGAAGGCAAGGAGTGCTTGATGAGCGGATGGGGAAAGAAGAATTTCACGGACGAGAATTTCTCGACAGTATTGAAGGTAGCAGATTTGCCTCTGGTGAACTTCACAGACTGCCAGTCCCGACTACGAACCACACAGTTGGGTAATACCTTTCATCTGCCTGAAAGTCTACTGTGCGCTGGCGGAGAGGAGAATGAAGATGCCTGCACTGGCGATGGAGGATCTAGCCTGTTTTGCCCTATGACGGAGGACCCATCTCGCTACGTCCAGGTTGGTATCGTCAATTGGGGTAACGGTTGTGGTAAGAAGGGCATCCCGGGAGTCTACACTGATGTGCTCTATTTCCGAGATTGGATTCGGCAGAAAATGACATCAGTCCCTGAAGTGTCACCCCCGACTAGGTCCAAGTCTCCCCAACTGATGGGAAATTATAGGAAATGAGTTTTCAATCCAGATTTTAAATAAATAACAACCTATATATCTTAATAATTAAAGAATCTTATGTAATTCTCTTTATTTTTTCGTCAATAAAACTTTTCTTAGAGATTCTAAGAGTGAATTATAATTATATAATTCAATCAATTCATATATAATTCATGTATACTTATAAAAATATGTGTATTTGGTTTTATTTTAATTCAATTATGTGGAACTGATAAGCCCCAATCGAGAGCCGTCAGACCCATTTAAGTAAAACAACCTCCCTTTAGACGACAGTGATGCGAAAAAGTTCACGGCATTAAAATGTCGGAGCACTGGTCGCTAAGAATATTTCTCGTGGCATGTGTCCTTGGTTGGTGTCAGGCTGGGGTACCTTGTTCTTTCCAATATCGTTGTTTAGCTCCCAGATATTGCTTAAGACAAGCCACCATCAACACCTTAGCTAAGTTCACGTGCCACGATTCCGAACTGTGCTGCGAAGTGCAGAGAGAAGTCGACGAGGACAGTGCAAGTAGCAAGGAGCAAGTAAGATCTGATGCCTTAGAAGAGTCGCATTTTTATCGATTTTGTTCCAGCCGGTGGCGGTAGTCAGCTCCATCCCACAACAAACCACTTCCACTACCTCCACTCCTCCCCAGGTTGAAGACGGAACGCTTATAATGACTCCGCTGCAAAAGAATGACAACCAATTTAAGCATTGTGGCTGGTCAAATCCCAGAGGCCTGGACTCGAATCTGGAGCACTCTGGAGACGAGGCAAGACCTGCGGAGTTCCCCTGGGCTATAGCTCTTTTCCATAAGGATATTTTATTCGGCGGAGGTACCCTAGTAGCTCCCGGAGTGGTTCTTACAGCGGCTCATGTCGTCTTGGGCAAGTCCTTGGCGGATATCGTGGTCAGAGCTGGAGATTGGGACTTGGAATCGAATAGGGAATCCTTTAAGAGGCAGGAGCGAACTATAGTTCGAATTTTACGGCATGAGGCATTCCAAGCAGAAACGGGAGCCAATAACTTGGCGCTTCTTTTCCTCAACTGGCCATTCCAGTTGGGGGATCACATAGGGTCCATCTGCTTGCCTTACCTCGGAAGGTCCCGACAGATCAAGGACCGCTGCTACTTGGCGGGCTGGGGCAAGAGAAAATCCTCAGATGACCACTTTTCCCCAATTCTGAGGAAGATTAACCTGCCCGTGGTGAACAAGAACACGTGCCAGAATCGACTGAGGCGGACAAGTTTGGGACTAGACTACGAACTGCCCGTTGGTGTAGTCTGCGCTGGAGGTGAAAACAACAATGATGCCTGCAATGTCGATGGTGGATCTGCCTTGGTATGTCCCCTAAGAGGCAATCCCAACCGCTTCGAGCAAATTGGCATCGTCAGCTTCGGTGTCCAGTGCGGCACGGAGAACGTCCCGGCTGTCTACACCGATGTTTCCCAGTTCAGGGAGTGGATAGATTATAATGTAAAAATAATCCAGTTTGATATTCAGCAAATCGGTCACTGGAATCCAACACTGCCAGTTCTACAAATCAATTAAAATACAGAAACCATAAGATTATGGGAAAATAAAAACATTTATTTTTATATACTCGAGGTTACTTCTTATACAGATTATTGTGCTTATCAGGAGGTTTTCCTAGAATCTTGGAATTTCCAGCATAGGAACTTCCAGCATCACTAAACCGGATGGCAGAGTTCTAAGAAAGTCATCTTTAATACATACATATATGATTAATGCCCAGCATTCTCAGAAGCAATGTCTACACTCCACCATCAGATTATAAGTATATTTCCTGCGAACTACAGTTGGACATAACTAAAGTGTACTTGCTTGTCTTTTCCTCACTTAAATTTTTATAAAAAGTTTTTTTTTTAAATGTATATAGTGTCTGACACACTGTGTCTCCCCAGTTTCTTAAATTAAATTCCCTGAAAAATAAATTAAAGCCATTTGTTTTTATGACTTCATTCCCGACTATCCTATGTTGTGGGCGAATTTCGATGGTTGTCCAGTTTGTGAAACTAAGCCGGTAAGCGGCTTTCATGCAACTGTGGCTTTGACTTGGCCATTTCCTGGCCCATCTGGAGCTATACTTGCCAGTCGGAAACAAGAAGGGAAGTAGAATGGAGTCAGTTTCATTGACGAACCTTTATTCGATATCAGATGCCATCAAAGTCAGCAAAGGCAGCAGGAGCAGCAGCAGCGGCATAAGCTGATTTGGCACTTAGGTTACATTTTTTCACTTGTTGGAGCGACGGCGAGGGGCGCCGAAGATGCGCAGGTGTTTGCTCCGGGTGAGCTCACGGGCCTCGCGCTGACCCAACTCGAAGAGCTGTGACTCCAGGCCCTGGATGTAGGCTATCATGGCGGCAGTCGAGAGGAGACTCAGCTCTGGATGGGGGAAAAGAAAGTTTCTGATGAATGTCTGAACTTTTCACCTTGGGGAGACACAGCCCAGCACTCACCATTCATCTGGCGCAGGTCCTCCTCGGTGTCTTTGTTCCGAACATCTGCCTCCTCCATCTCCCTCTCAGCCTTCTCATCCATTTCGGGGTCGAAGGAGTCCCAGTTCTTGCGATCCTGATGACCATCTTTTGCGGTCTCCTCACCGCTTTCCTCGTTGGAGCTAGCCGTGTTGTCCATCTTCACCGTAAATTCCGGGGGATATATGATGGGTTCATCCAGCGACAGTAGCTCCTGGGATTCGTACTCCTCCTTAATGGTTTTTGCTTTTTTTGCCATTATTTTCAAGAACCTCAAACTTTTGGAAATTGTTGCCTGTCTTGCCTTTTTAGTTGTCATTCACCGGGGCAGGGCTGCATTCAAGGTGTGCCCTGACAGTTTCAAGATTCACAATTGACCTCGTTCACCTGTCATTTCAAAACAGAAGGGGCCCTGGCATTAACTTTTATGTAGCCCAATTTGGTGGAATGGCAAGTTTGGAATCCATATTTTAAGCCACCCCCTGGCGAGGGATTCCTTAATGGCCTAATGAGCTGCGCAAAATTAATTGTCACACCGAAATCCCCGCAGGAGGGTGACCATCTTTACGAGGAGAGTGCGTGAATATGCAAATTTCCAGGAATTGCCAGGGTTGCTTCTGCAATCCTGCAGCCAAGGTCAACCACGCAAGAAACCCTGCAAAAACTGGGACCTGGCCATTAGAAGGCATTTTCAAAGGACTCTGGCTTCTTGTAAACAATATATCAGCCGGCGTTCCCCACACATGGCCGTTTTACCTTAGGACTATTCCTCTCTTCAGGAGCGTACGAAAAAATATATGAAGGGGGGTATTATAAACTATATTATTAAGAAGAGCTAAATACTAGTATTTTTGAAATCTTAGTTATTACATTTTTTATTTTGGGGAGTTTGAACCCCCTTTTGGTTTCACCCTTGTCCTTGTATCTCCCTGTGTTGCACGTGTCCGTTTGCTTAGGTGGCGGCTTAACAGGCAAAGGACATGGAAACGGAATATGTGTCGTGATGGGAACAAAGGACGCGTGCTCATTATTCCCCCCTCACGTCTGTCCACGAGCTCTGGCTCTGCCTTTATTTGGTGCAGCTGCTTTATGGACAAAGTTTTTTGGGCAAAGTATCGTTTTAGACTCGAGACCGCGCGACTCATGCAAATTGAACAAGTTTAACTTTTTCGAGGGGTCGCCTTTTCGACCCCCATCCCAGCCACATCTCGAGGAGTACTCCCCAGGGTGGCGGACGTCGTCTGTGTAAACAGGGTTTGCATTGTGTACAATGGGCCCCATTACGTTGCAGTTTATTGGCAAGGATGCGGCCTCTGCCCGTGTTATCATCCATCCGGCACGTGCCAGCCAGTAGTCCCTGCCAGTACCCTGCCTGCTTCTGTTGCTGACTTTGATTTGTTCAAATCGCTGCTTAATGGATGTTTACATGATGCCCCGTTGAAGTGGTTAAATTGAGAATTTCCAAGTACAAGCTGTACAAGAGTCCTGGCCTGGCCCACTGTGTCACAAAAAAAGAAAATCGCTTGCGGCCCGAAACAAGCCAAACAAAGAAAACAGTCGGCCAAAACAAACCAACTGGCCGGAGACACCGACTAGACGCATAGACGCTGTCTAAAGGACATTGTCCCAGATCCTCTTCAGACTATAAAAGTCCCTTTTGTCAACTGCAATAGCTTAAGTTGCAGTTGCAGCTGCAAAACTAGTATTAGTTTCAAGTATTTCTGCTACCTTTCTTTAGAACAACTTTTTCGCATTTCAGCCGCACAAATGGCCCATTTAATTGGATTAACGCACATTTCCGCTGGCTCGCTGGCCAATTTATCACTGCTTATGTTTATTTATGTTGCATTTTAATTATGCGCCACAGTTGGAAGTGTGCCATGCGGAGATGCGGATGTCTGCCTGGTTGCAACTTGCTTTTTCTTTCTTTCCACCGAGAGGCTACGGCTACCCTTTTCTTCTCCACAACTCGCTACTTGCAGCCTCTTTAATTTTCATGATTTACTGCCAATCCATTGTGAGCGGCTGTCGATGGCAATCGATCCCATTGCATTCCTCAGATATATGTATGTATATATACTTTGCCATATAAATATACTTTTCCAATAACCCCCTCTTACTGCAGAGCCCCTTCGCAAAATCTGACAGCCTGGTGCGAATTTTTTTGCATCTGATTTGGGATGAATGCCGGGTAATTTGAAGTCTTGTTTGCGGTTCGCTAATTTCATTGCTTCAACGTGGATTGCTGCGATTGTTGGGTATTGATAACCGAGACGAGACTGGAGAAAGTCTCCGTTCATATTTTGGTAAGCCTACACTTTTTGGTTTACCAAAGCTACCCAACTATCGGTCTAGCCTAAAATATAATTTTGGAAAAGCAATCTTAAGGATTGAAATTAAAGGCTTACTCTAATTTCATACTCCTACCTACTGAAATTTCAAAAAAAATATGCTTATAAACATGTAATTATAACCACAAACATGTTGCCTTCAATGGCCTTACATAGTTTCCTTTTTTTTTGGGTCACCGAAAGCCCCAGGAATTGGGCGGCTTTTCAAGTGGACAAAAGACCACTCTTTTGCTGTCAAGTTTGATTTAAATGAAGAATAGCCCAGACCCATGAATAGGGCCCAGCAATGCCTGGGGATTTGAAAGGCCTAGAAAGTAGACAGGCGGTTGAAAGACAGTTCCTTCAAAGGACCCGTCGGACATGCCTTAATGTCGTCTGTGAGCTTGCCGCGAATGTATGAATATTTATAATAGATACTTATCTTGCACCCTTTCGCAGTCGGACAGGACACCGGACAGGACCTCCAAGCTACGGTCGCATTTTTCTGGCTTATTAATTGCCTGCATACACGAACCTGACTCCCCGGGTCCTTTGTCGCCTGTCACTTTCGTCCTTGGCGACCTGTCGCCACCAAATGCAAAACGCATAAAACATAAAAAGCATAAATATTAAAAGCCTAATTAATTTTAGGCCGCCGCGACCGGAATTATATTTTATTACAAGCTTGAATGTCAATAATTGCACGCAGGTGTGAATGGCAAGAGTTCACCTGCCCTGCAACGTTGCAGGGTCTGGTTTTGTCACCTGAAAAGACTTGTAATTTAAATACAAAAAATTAAATAATTATAAAAGCAATTTGCAAGGATTTCGAAGGAGGAGGACAGCTGGTCTTAATAATAAGGGTAACTAGTTGGTTTATAGTTACTCTATTAACTGCCCTGTTCATGTTGCAATACCGCTATATACTTGAAATCTAAGAAACTGAAAGTAAAGTCTTGTAATCATCAAATTGATATCGATTCGCCTCTGCCGCCAGGTTGTCTTGCAGCGTTGCAGGTGCACTGGAGCGGACGACTCACTTGGCCATTCACCGTTTGTGGCTATCAGCGATATTGATGGATAACGAGTTTGGTGCTGGGAAAGTGGGTGAGCCTGGTAGCCAGCGCATTGTAAGTAGCTTTTTCCACTAATTGATATGCGACCATCCATCGAGTTGCATTATTCAGAGAAAACTCCATCCGATCCGCCCAGTCTCATTTCATTTGGATTTTTGATGCCTTTGATCTCCTAGCCGGGTGATCCGAAACGTCAGAACATCGCAGAGCAGATCCTTTTAAGCAGCATCTGTCCGAATGCATCCGCTTGACAAAAGTGCCTTTGAAGTGCTAGAAAACGAAGTTTCTTGGACATCTAATTTTAGTTGCCTCGAATGGTGGTGCATCGTTAGCGGAAAATAGCAGGAAAACAGGATGCGCGAAAAGAACTTCCCCTGCGAGATGGGAAAAACACATTAACCGTGATTCTGTCGAGCAAAGTTGTTAAAATTGATGAGACATCGTGGCGCGCTCTGTGACTTTTGACCCACATTGCTGAGTCTCTGTGCCTTACCTCGCATTTCCAAAATCGCAATCTGACGCATTAAGTATGTGGCATGGGTTGCGAGGATGAGGACGACGATGTGCCACCAAGACGCTGTCTGTGCGGCAATCTTTTCGGCGGCTTTGACGGCGCCGCCACTTTGTCTGACCCAGATTTAATAAATGGCAGACAAATTGTCTGCGCAGATTGTTTATGATACTTTTGAACTTTCCTTTAAAGAAGTCGCAAAAATCCGATATAAGGCTTCCATGTCTGCCAAACGTCGCAAAAACCCATGCAGACTGAAAATTGTTCGATGGGGGGTCAATAGGTTGGGATATTACGAATTCAATTATGTCTAATTTTCTGGGATGAGAAGACCATCCAACTGTGTAATGAAGATAACCCAACACCTTGGTCACTCCCAATTAGCCGGCTTGGCCTGGCATGGCTTGGCCAAATTTCAATTAACGTCAAGAGCAATCAACGAAACTTTCCAGCCCGGTTTGTCTGTTTTCGCATTTTGCCAAAAAAGTTGCTGGCCCCTGAACTTTACAGCATTCTGGGGCTATTCAATTATTTAAAAACCAAAAACCCCAAATGCCTGAAAGTTGCACAAGTTACGGGTTGGGATTCAGTCCACTGGGGGAAAAGATGGTCTAAACATCAGTGTTTTTGTTTAATAAGTAATATCTACTCCATAGTTTTAGATTATATAACAAATTTTTGAAGATTCGACGCAATTCTAAATCTATTCTTAAAATATTTAAACTAGAAAAGAATTTATTTATTTATTCAAATATTTTTTCATTGTGGAGAAGCCGGACTGGATGGCAAAACTTGTTAGCTGCATCGCAATTATGACAGAATTAAGTTTTATGCTTTGCCGCCGAGGTGACCAACTGTCAGAGCCGGGCTAATCCCTCGATCTCCGGGAGACAACCGCAGCCGCAAGACAGCAAAAAACAACCGCACATGCATAAATGCATAAAACTGTCAGGGAGTGTGTGCGGCGTGTCAATAGCCAAGTGAGATGCGGTGCCAACGGATTCCAGTCCAGCTCCTACCCACATGTTACACAAATCACACTAGCGGCGGGATGTTGAGAACAAAAGTGGGTGTGGGAGTGGGTGAGGGTGACTATTGGTTGCATATATTCGGATATTCGTCCATGTTGTGCCATTGACTTTGCAACTTTGTTTAAAGGGGGGTGGCTGGACGGGAGGAGCACCACCTCCATCTCTCCATCTCCCCGTCACTGTTTGTCAATAAAACAAACAAAGAAGTTTGTCCCTCGAACCGGCAATGTGCAAAAGATACAAGCCGGAGTATTTGTATCTGTATCTGACTGTGTGTATCTGCATGTGCAGCGGAAGTGCAACTCAAACAGCAAGATACAAGGCAACTTTTTTAACCAGATCCTTTCCATCAACAGTTTCATATTTTCCTTTTGTCTAGAAAGTTTTCACGCCCCTATTCACTTTTTATCAGTGACGAGTGTCAAAGCCAAAAGTTATTTAAATTAAATTTTAAGTGGATGATATTTTTTAACAAAAAACTATAATTGATAACCTTAAATTTCAGCCATTAAGCTAGTCTCGTTGAACCCAATATTGTCCTGTTTTTTACCCGTTAAACTTAATTCACGCTCCTTTGCCGTTACTTATCCAACTGTACGTGTTTATGGCCTGATTGCAGGACTAGATACGAGCACCAGACCTCGTAATTATGGCCCTAGATCCTTTTTTTGCATCAGTTCCCGCCTTTCTCACTCAATGAAGCGCAATAATTGCTGTGCTTAATGCAAATTCTTTCTCCCAAAAGTCACGCCCACTTCCATGGGGGGATGCAGCCGCCTGGTGGCGGAGAAGGAAGAGAAAGTAGTGTCAACCCCGGCGTCGACTTGGTTAATGCCGCCGTACTGTGTCCGTATGCAAATGAGTTTCCAATGACTTGCCCCGAAAACAAAACACCACACAGCGAGACCAAGGATATGACGTGATATCGTCTGCTGCACTTGAACTTGGCTCCTATCCGCCATTAACTTGGCCACATGCGTCTGGTCGCTCCGGCTCCGCCATGTGGTTATGTATCGGAGTTTGCATGCGGAGTGAAAGCGTCATAGCCACTTGCATTATAGTTGTTGGCCAAAGGCGTTTTATGCTGAAATTTGCACTTTTATTGAGGTCTGGCTCTGGATCTGCTCCTTTGGACTCAAGCTTTAAGTTACTAAAGCGATAAGGCCAGTTGCAATTTGGTTTAATGTCTCCCCCACATCCAGCTTATCGCAGCACTTTAAATGGTTCGCGGGAGTGACACTAAAAGGCTTGAGAAAAGGGCACTTCTAAATCGAACTTGAATGATACCGATTATGCAAGAAAATGGTTGAAAAATGCGAAAAATATAAATAAATATTTTAAAACATAAATATTAAAGGAAGCTTAACGCCAGAGGAAATAGTTTTATACTAAGTAGCATTATACATAGTCGCAACTGTACAATATCAATGTAATAGGTCTTCTTATTTTATAATATATGCGATAATTAAACTAAAACATTTAATTTTAATATTTGTAATCATTTAAGTAAATTCTTGGCGCCTTTTCTTTTAAACGAATTTTCACCACCACATTTTCCACCACAAATTCAAAAATGTGGCAGCTCTAATCTAAATCAGCTGTTTTTTGATTACGCCGAGTGTCGTAAGTGGCTAAAAGTGCACTTCTTTGAGTTTTCGGAAATTCGGGGATAAGAAAATGTCGAAGCACGCCCTTATAGGTAAGTTGAAGTGTATCCCAAGGTCACGGATGGTAAAACGAGCCTCTGCCTCTCAATTTTAGGCGGTGGCACCGGCTTCATAGGCCGCAATCTGGCCCAACACCTGACGCACAAGGGCTACGATGTAACGGTCATCTCCCGAATGCCAGGAGAAAAACGAATCACTTGGCACGAAATCGAGAAGAATGGAATTCCCAATTCCGTGACCTCGGTAGTGAATGCAACAGGCCAAAATGTCTTGGATCCATCGAGACGTTGGACTCCCGGCTTCCAGCAGAATGTGTGGAACTCCCGCATCAATTCATCCAAAACACTGGCTCAGGCCTTAAAGGCAGCTCCCCAGGTCACCTCCTTCGTAAACCTATGCGGTGTTAGCCATTATCCACCCTCTGAGTCCAAGGTCTACAATGAGAAGGACAAGGTTGAGGGTTTCGACTACATGTCCAAACTATGTTTGGCCTGGGAGCAGGCGGCTCAGAGTGGCGGTGAAGAGGATTGCAAAAGGGTAAGTTAGTTTAAAAAAACAAAGGACGCTCTTTCATTAACCGATTCAGTAACTTACTCCAGACCATCCTTCGAACTGGCGTTGTCGTAGGACTTGGAGGCGGAATGATCCAATCTATTTGGTTGCCGTTCAAACTTGGTGTTGGCGGTCCCTTGGGCACAGGCAAACAGATCATGCCCTGGATACACATGCAGGACCTCTGCAGTCTGATACAACACATAATTGAGAAGCCGGTTAGAGGCGTGGTAAATGCCGTGGCCCCTGAAATTGCTAGCAACGGGAGTTTCAGCAAGGTAAGAGCTTACAAACTTCCCTTTTGACTATGATGCTAACAGGATATCTTATTCCAGGCATTTGCCAAAGCCTTGAATCGTCCCTGCATCTTCAACGTGCCCGAGTTCGTGGTGCATGCCATTTTTGGCAATGATCGAGCTGCTCTTCTCCTTAGTGGAGCCAAAGTGGAGCCCAAAGAAGCCATCGCCTCCGGCTTCAAGTTTCAGTATCCTACCGTCAATGAGGCCGTGAAAGAGTTGACCCGGAAGCGATGAACTGGATTGCCAATGGTTACTGATTAGTTTAGAGTTTCCTGTACATAAAAGTCATGGACAGTGGCCGCGCAAATTAAATCTCAAATTTCTGCAAGCTGTGAATCATATGAATCATCATCCCGGGAGATAATAGTTCCCGAAAATGAATTCATTTAATTTGTTTACTCATTTAGTCACGTCCACCAGTATTCCACAATTGTCTACTGTCACATTATATGTAATTATTGGCTTAATTTGTTTCTAAAAAAATCTCCGCCGCTTTAATTATTTGAATCGAAGGGCTAAGGGACTATTTGAAGTAGTAATCTGGGTTTGGATTATATAAGTGGAATCTGTAAAAGTTACTTTCCATGAGTTACAGCAGAGTGTGAAAGATTTTAGATAATTCTGGCTTACAGAACCTTTTGCAACTGGACAATTGAAATAATTGGAAACAATCGTAGCTGAGCGAGCACAAAAAAAATTAATTGACTTGCACACGCTGCTGCCAATCCGGCTGTATGGCTACATAATTTTTATAAAGTTTTTGTTTTTGCCCAGATTGGTGGGATCTATAAATATGCCAGCCATGTCGGTGGAAGATTCAGTTTCATTTAGAGCCGCCAAACCGCAAAATGCTCTCCAGCTCCCCACTATTAGTTCTTGTTGTCGGGTTTTGCCTGGTATGATAGCCTGAAATCACGCGATTCTACTTTTGGTTAAATCTAATCCATTAACAGAATGCAGCCGATTCGGCTGACGTGGACTGCTCCAAGCGGCCACCATTTGTGAATCCCAAGACCTGTTGCCCCATGCCGGAGTTCGTCACCGCAGAGCTGAAGGAGAAATGCGCCCAGTTCAACATCACCCGACCACCGCCAATGGATGGTGATGCCAGTGGTTCCTTCGAGGGCAAACGTCGTCACCATCATCCGCATCCACCACCGGTTGGTAGATTCTGTGTGAAAGGAATCTATCTGATATCCTTTTCTCCCCATTCAGTGTCTGTTCTCTTGCATTTTCAACGAAACTGGCATCTATGTGGACCGCAGCTTGAATCAGGCCAAGCTGACCAGCTATCTCCAGGTGGTGTTCAAGGATAGCACCGATCTTCAGACCACAGCTACCGAGGCCTTCACCACTTGTGCCACCAAGGTGGCTGAGTTCGAAGCCAACCTACCGGCTCGTCCTCGTCCATCTCCGCCACCTGGAATGCCGATGTGTCCCCACGATGCCGGCCATCTAATGGGCTGTGTCTTCCGTAATCTGATGAAGAACTGCCCGGCATCGATCAGAAATGATTCTGATGAGTGCACTCAAGCCAGGGAGTTCTTCACCAACTGCAAGCCACCCCGAGGACCTCCTCCCTCCGGCGAGGACATGTAAAGCAACCGAGAAAACCTCACCAACCGACATGCGTAGAGCATTTAACCCCTTCCCAGACAGAAAATTCAATTTTTTTTCAATTTAACGCAATAAATGTTTAAAGCTCAATATGGTTTCACTTCCTTCTTTGATTGCCACATCCTCTAAGCCACTTATCGCCGTGCTGCACGTCTGGAGGCGCAATGAGTTAGAAAATTAGGTTTTCCCTTTCAAGAAAATTGCTTATCGCGCGCATGTGCATGGCCAGAAAACCGTTCAACATCCTGGACCAAGGACTCATTCGCCTTGTGTGCGGGAAAGTGTAAGGACCATGGAGGAGGAGCTAAAATTATTCTTCGAGGAATGCCGGAAGCAGGAATTTTCTGGCCAGGAAATGTGGGCCATATGCAAGCCTCTAATCTGGAGAATCCGAATGGCAAGGGCTAGAAGGTGGCTTTTTATCGGCCTTCCTATTTTGGTCTCTTACATCCTTTGGCTATACTGCGATACCTTTGCTTGGTACGTGAGTGCCCTGGGCCGGATAATGCTCATCCAAGTCCTGCCTCTCTGGGACTGGACTCCCTACTACAATTCAAAGTGTTTGATTGCTCGGAATGCTCAGCGAGTACAAGAGGAGCTACCGCCGCTGGGCAGGCACGAAACCGTGTGGGAGAATTGTGCCCTCTGCGAGTCTCTAGGTGAGTCTGACAAGAATTAATTCCAGCCAATATTAATCCTTTAATCTCCAACCATATAGAAGGAATAACTACAACTTCGAACATGAGCTACTCCTTGCTGGAATCTCAGTATCTGGAGCGCGGCATACCCATCATACTTACCGATGCTGGGTTGGAAACAAATTTTTACAATCTTTTGGAGCTCATAGAGGAAAGGACACCGGAATGGCTCAGCAGTGAGCCCTGTGACGTTTCCACCAATCTTCTGTTAAAGAAACTCTTCAACCTAGAGGCGGCCTTTGACAAGATATACTCTGCTGGAAATCCTTGGCACCTGCAGCTCCGTAACTGCCAGAAGAAAGCGGTGAAGTCGTCGCGGTTGTTTCTGGAACGTCCCTACTATTATCCTTTACACCTGGCTCCATACTATTCCAGCTGGATACTGGCTGTTCATCAACAAAAGCGACACCAGGCTGAGATCTATGTCCGAGGGTTGATTCTTTTCCAGCAACTAAGCGGGCACTTCGAGGTGACTCTTAATCCCAAGGAGCCATGCAACCAGGACATATGCCCCAGCTTAAGGATGCGTCTGAACGCAGGAGAGGGGTTGATCTTTTCGACAGACCTCTGGAGACTGAGCTACGGTTTGGAGAAACCGAATTCAAAGCAGAGCTCCCTGGCCAGCATCTTCGAAATCGACTGGCAGCCATAAAACCATAATAATTAGTTGGCCGAAATTGTATTTACACACACAACCAGATGGACACAAATAGAAGCCTAAAGTTTACACAAGGAATCGAAAGTGGTCTAGTCACTAGAGTAGGGATTAGCTTAAGCACGGCGACACTTGGCCTCAACCAGTTTCTGCAGGGTCGCTGTTAGACTATTGATTGCATCAATCTTCATGCGCTCGATGCGCTCTTGCTGCACCAGCGACATCTTCTGGACCTGCACCTGCTCCCGCTGCAGGCTTCGTTGTAGCTCCATCTTCTCGCGCTCTACCTCCAGCTTCCTTTCAAAGTAGTCCTTCCACCACACGTCATCGGGCATGCCGCCCACAGGCTGCGAGCCTAATGGCCTGGCTAGATCAAACATCTTGCCGTTGGCCTCCAGTTGCTGGTGGCTGCTGTTGCTGATGCGCTCCGCTTCCATCTGATGGTCAGTGTCGAACTCCATCTTCGGCTGCCTCACCTCATCAATGCTGTTGCTGCTGTCTTCGTCGAATTCGTCGTTCGATTTGCTGTCCTGCAGTTGGTGCTCCTGAATCTGGGCCTGCAGAAGTACCTGGTCCACGGGTGTAATGTACGGTTGTCCCTCCTTCGCTTGTGGCTGAGCGGGTAGCTGCAGTTGTGGTGTTCCGGGCTTCTTCTGATACGGTAACTCTATTGTTGTTGGTTGCAGCTGCATAGGTTGCTGCTGCGGCTGTTGTTGCTGCTGCTGGGGCTGCTGTGGTGTTCCCTGATTCGGGTTCTGGCCTGGCGTGGAATTCTGGGCTGATGTTACTGTGGCACTGGACTGCGGCTGCATATCAAAGTCTGCCTTCTTGCCCTGCAAGTACTTGAACATTTCCTCGAAGAACTCCCAATGCACATATCCGGAGACGTACTTCTTGCTCAGATTCTTATTGTAGGTGATGAGGATGTTGTGCCATTTCTTCTGCACCTTGGCGGCAGAGTAGCGAAATCCCAGGCGTTGCAGTTGACGGGTGCAGTGCAGCCACAAAGCAGTTCTCTTTTGTCTTTAACGAAGTGAAAAAAACTATTACACTACTTTTTGTGAAGCTTAAATACCTCACTCACCTGCCCTCGGTAAAGCTCCCCTCCATGGGACCCCGTATGTGAATCAGGGCCCTTGTGGCCTCCGTGGTCCAAGCCCTTTCGTACGGCCCCCGCCCCAGGGTGTTGGCACTACCTTGGGCATCTGCCTCCTCCAACAAACACTCATCATCCAGGTCATCTAAATCGTCATCGCTGATTTGGTAAGCTAGAAAAAAACACGAAATAAATATGAGATTTCAAACTTGTTGCTGTTTGGTGAATAGGCGGCAACTCTGGCGCAGCATCCTTTTGTGCGCTCTCAGGACTCGCTCTCTCGTTTGTAGCTTTCAAGTTGCCACCCACCGTCAAGCCAGAAAACATCCTAGCTTTGCTAACTGCGACTGACATACATCATGATACACACAAACATACACTGCATACATCATAGCTGTCTAAGTTTAGGAGCACACACACGCACATAAATTTAATCCCAGGTATATCCTAGAATTTTTATCGCTTAATTTGAGCTAATTGTCTGCAGACTTACGTTCGTTGTCCTCGCCATTATTGCCATTGCTAGGAGCACTGCCTCCGTTCAATTGAATCTGAGCCATTCGGCCAGGCCAATTTTCTTGCTTTGGTTTAATTTTTTTACTGCCAGACCTTAGACCTTTCGACTGCCAATAGTTTTCACATCTAAAAGGACGAATTTCTGGCTGCAGCTTCCAGGCGTCGAGAACATCGCGTGCGCCTACTCTCTCCAGCAGCCGCTCTCTCATTTTCTTGCCTCAGATCTGAGGGAAAGCTGCGGCTAGCAAAAGAGCACTAGTGTAAGTGGAGTTGGGGTGGCACGGGGCTAGAAGGGGGCGGTGAGGTGGGTGGAAGTGGGTGTGCAGGTGGAAGTCAGTGTGGGTGGGAGTGCAGCATCTGCGCACTTTGCGCTCTATTCCGCAGGTCTCGAGCCGCAGCCTCACTGGAAATGCTGGAAGAAATGGAAAGGCTAACCTAAATAGTTCTAGTCCGCTCGCACAGGATGTAAAGGATGTTTATAACAAAACAGTTCTAAGTCGCCAAGCTCATTTGCAAAAATTTAATAATCTCCCTAAAATACTATCAAAAATGTAATTGAAGTATTTGAAAAAACTATTATGAGTTATTATTTACAATAAAATTACTGTTAGTACTGACTTTTTCCATGGAGTATGTTTCTTTCTTGTAAGATAATAATTCTTTTAATCTTATTTAAATAAATCTTTTCATTTAGAGAATGGTCAATCATAGCATAATCTATCATCTTTAGATCAAGGTGAAAGACGTAACCGGAAGAGACCGACCCTTTGGCTAGGAACTCGTCCCGACAACTTTCAAATATTTCACCTTTGCGCGCCTTTCCGTACTTTATAACCCTTGAAAGGAGCATGGTGCACCTGTCACTTTTAAATTTTCGACAACAAATGGCCAAATAAATAGTTTGTCCTTTAAACTATAATGTAGTGGTAGATCAGGAAAATATAAACTTAATTAAGGCGCCGGCTTGCCTAAGTACAAATATTATAAAATAAAAAACAAAATTTAGTATTTTCGATAATAAAGAAAAATCGATAGATCGATATTGATAAAACAAAATCCCTTTTGCTTGAAAATATATCGATGTTTTATAAATCTATCAACAAGTCCACATTTTTGTTGGGCACACTTCTTTGGCATCTGACAAGCGTCTGACGAGAAAATATTTTTTTCCGAAAAAAGAACTGACTACGAATAACTTGTATTAAATTGCCGCTTGACAAGAACTATTTGCTAATATGGATCTCAGCGGTCCACAATCTCTAGACAACATACTCCTGCCCGAGGAGCTGAAACTTGTGCCGGAGGACGTGCAGAAAAAATTGTCGGCATACATTAATACATTTTCTGATGAGTATTGCAAGGAACGCGCCGCAGCCAACCGCCTGGGTAAGTTAGTTTATATTATTATAAGTAAAAACAATAAAAGGTGTAGAATCCATCACTGTAGAACCCTTGGGTTTGGGGCCCAAAATTTTTCATACATAGCCGGCGTTTCTAGACGTCTTTTTCCGGTTCAAAAATCAAGCTGAACGATATTGAGATCATGATTTAGAATAGCTCAATACTATTACTGACAAAATTTTGCCCGCTATTTGTTTCTTTAGCCGCATTTTTGCTCATTTCCCGGCTTGTTGCACTTTGCAAACAATGGCCGCTCTGCATGCATATGCTTGTAAGTATGTATGTATGTGCATAGCTACATATGTATTACTGTTGGACGGTGTGGCAACGCTGGTCATCATTCTTTCTGCCGGCTTTCAAATAAAAAATGAATTTTATGTTTTTACTTAAATTTCTTTAGGCGAAACAGAACAAAAATGCGAGGAGCTTCAGAGCAAAGTGGAAGACTACCTGGTGAAGTTCAACAACTTCGAGCAGAATGTGAACGAGCTTCGCGCGCAACTAGACCAAGTATCCGCCGAAAGGGCCCACCTTTTGGAAACGGTCAGCAGCTATGAACAGAGTGTCTCCGTGCTTCGGAAGGAGAAGTCGACTACAGTCGAAGAGCGCGATTCGCTAATGAAGATCATTGAGCGTCAGAATGCAGAGCTAGACAGACTAAAGCAGGATCTGCACACCTACCAACAACAGTTGAGCAGCGCCATTGCAGCCAAGTGCGAGGCAATCGCCCGTGTTGATGAGATCCAGAGCAAGGAGGTGTCGCTGGAAGTGAAAGAACGCCGGCTGGAGAGCGAAAGAGCCATGCTGCAGCAAGAGAACCAACTGCTCAGCAGTGACCTTAATCGTACCAACTCCGAGATGCAGAACATTCGACGAGAGCACTCACTGAACATCATGCAGCTCGAGACGCAGGTCAAGGAAAAGACCGATGCCCTACAGCTGGTGAAAAACCAGCATGCCCAAGCCCTTAAGACCATCGAGGAGCTAAACCGGAAGATAGAGGAGCAAATGGAAAGCGTCTACCAGCACAACCAGTCCACCGAACAATACGTGGAAAGGTTGAAAAAGGAGCTCGACGCCAAGGACAAGTTATATGAAATATTCAAGAATACTGAAGAGGAAACCTTGGCTCAGCGAGATGAGCTCCTGCACGGCATTACCGAACTCAAGCGTCTGCTCCAAGTCGCTTCGGATGAGTACGGACAGTTGGAAGCCGAAAAGGAGGCGATGAAGAACTCCCACGGTTTAGAGGTGGAAAACCTTAACAAAAAAATCGCCGAATTAAAGACTGAGATCGGCCACGCCAACGAACTGCTGAAGGAGATGCAGGATCGCAGCCTGGAGAGCGCTATATGCCAAATTGCTCCTAGTGCCGCACTAGCCTCACGTATCATGCGATCCGATCTTTCGCTTACCGAACTCTACTCCATGTATGCCAAGAACAGTGAGGAACTGGAGATGCGCAACCGCGAGAATGAACAGCTTAAACTGCAAATTAAGTCCATTCTGGATGAGATCAACGAGAATGCCCCGATCTTGCAGAAGCAGGGAGCCGACTACCACAAACTTAACGAGGCACATGCTTTGCTTATGCAAGAACGTGACGAGCTGGTCGAAAGGCAGCTGGTGCTGGAGCATGAACTGGAAAGAACATCCTTTAATTTGACCCACTGCCAGAAGGAGGCCAAGAAGCTGAAGCAAACGCACTCCGATCTCAGTCGACAGGTGTGTGCGTTGCTCGACGAGCTCAACTGTTTGCGGGCTGGAGTTCCCCGTGTTAAGAACACCAATCGCGACGGGGTGATAAACAGCGAAACGCTTATAGACCAAAACTATATTACTTTTGCTTCCATTCAAGAGCTGCAGGAAACGAATATAAAGTTGATTGCCTTGAGCCGCGAATTGAGCTCTGCAATGGAAGAATTCGAAAAGTCCAATGAAAAACAAGCGCTAAAGGAATGCGAAGCAAAGCTGAAGAAGGCCAGCGAGCGATTCGCGGAAATGGAAGTGGCATTGGGACAGAAAAACACCACCATAACTACCCTGCTCTCCAAATGCGAGCGCTACAAGAAATTCTACTTTGCCGCTCAAAAGAAACTCGGACAGAAGACGGTGGATCTGGACGACTCAAATATTGAACTGAATGATTCCGCGATGGACATCTCTACAAAGTCTGCCGCACAACAGGAGGAGGAGAACAAACTGGAAAGGCGTGTGCGTAGCTTGGAAAACCAACTTGAGGAGGAGGTCAAAAAGTATGCAGCTTTGAAGGAGAACTACGACTACTATACTAATGAAAAACGCAAGAACGACGCTCTAGCCCAGGAGCAGTTTGACTCCATGCGTAAGGAGGTGCGCGAACTGACTTCCTGCAACTGCAAGCTCATGAATGCCACTGAGTTCCAAAAGGAACAGATCGATTTGCTGCACAAGAACATCGATACCTACAAGCAGCAAGTATCTGCGCTGGAGGAACGCACAAAGGGCTATGAGAAGACCATCATAAAACACGAACAGACCGTGCTAATGCTCAAGGACGAGGTGATTGGTGCTCACCGAAAACTGGCCACTGTCGATTCAGAGGCTCACAGCCTGCGCCAGGAGAATCGTAATCTAAAGGACACCTCCATGCGGTTACAAATGGAAAAGGAGGCCTACCACCGCGAGCAACAAAGTCAGTCGTTGCTGCTTAATAACTTGGAGTTCATTAAAGCCAATCTGGAAAGATCGGAGACTGAGGGGCGCCTTCGACTCGAGCAGCGATTGGATGACACTGTTAGGGAACTGGCCGCCCAACGTCGCCACTTCCAAGAGGAGGAGGAGAAGTTCCGAGAGTCCATCAACGAGTTCAGGCGCCAAACTGAGACCGCTATAAAGCTGAAGGAAGAGGAGAAGCAGCAGGCCGAAAAGTGGCAGGCCGAGCTAAAGAGCGTACGGGAGGAGCTGGTACAAAAGAACAATCAGGTGGCCGAGCTCAGCAAGAAGCTCCAGGAGAGCCTTACGCCCTCAATGAATGAGAACCCCATCGCGGCGGCCAACAAGCGGGCTCGCGACTTTGAGCTCAAGTTCGACCAGGCCACCGTCGAGATCGCATCCCTTACCAAAGAGCTTGCCAAGGCCCGGGAGCACGGCGAACAGTTCTACAAGATGTCGCAGAGCGCCGAAAGCGAAATCAAGCGGCTGCACGAAATGCACGTGGAACTGGTGGCCAAGCAGGAGGAGGAGATCAACAAGTTGAAGAGTACCGAGGCGGAACTTAAGGCCCGCATCACTGACCTCGAAGCGGAGGCGATGCTCTCGACTGTCACCGAGCAGAGCAAGAGCAACAATCAATCGGATCAGCTCAAGCTGGCCCAGGATGAGCTGAAGAGCGTTCTCGAAAAACTGACAGAGTCGGGTCGCACCATTCGCACCTTGCGGGCTGAGAACACCAAGCTGGCGGAATCCTTGAACGCGGTGGAAGTAAAATACGCCAACGAGATGGTGCTGCACTCGTCCGACATCCAGGAACTGACGCGCATCAAGGCGGACTTCTTCAAGGTCCAAGGTGAGCTAAACGAGTTCAAGGCTGGACGAGAGTCGCTACAGGCCGCCCACGACGAGCTGCTTCGCTCAAATGCGGAAGCCCAAAAGCTGCTGGAACAGGAGAAGGCGGAATCGGAGAGCCGAGTGGCGGATCTGCATGCCCTGAACGCCAGCCTGCACGAGCAAATCGAAGCTCTCACCACGAAGCTGACGGCCTTGGCTAGCCAGTCCCAAACTTCCAACACATCGCTTCTGAATGACTCCGCCATGGACGCCGATCAGAGCCTGAACGTATCTGCCGGCGAGGAAAACAAGAACAACGAGCAGCTTCTGAAGATTATCAAGTTCCTGCGCAAGGAGAAGGATCTGTTCGCCGCCAAGTTGGATATTGTAAAGGCTGAGAATGCCCGCTTGGTATCGGAGCACACCATCCAACAGAAGAAGGTGGACGAGTTGAATGGTTATCTGAACCAGGAGAGGACCAAGAGCCAGACCGATGTGGTTTCGGCCAACAAGCACGAGGAAGTGCTCCGAAAGATCGAGACTCTCAATGCCATAACCGACAGCAACCGCATCCTGCGCGAGGAACGCAATGCCTTGACGCTCCGTGTGGCCGAGCTCACAGAACGCATCAGCAGCGTTGAGAAGGAGCTGTTCCCGCTGCAGTGCGGCAACAAGGAGCTCACCTCAAAGATCGAGGAGCTGAATGTGGAGAACACCTCGCTGCGCACCGAGGCGATCAAGTGGCGGCAGCGCGCCAACGCTCTGGTGGAGAAGAGCAACCGCAACCCAGAAGAATTCAAGCGTTTGCAAGGGGAGCGCGAGCATTTGGCCAAGCTGCTAACCGCCGAAAAGGACATGGCCAAGAAGCAGCAGGACGAGTTGGCTTCCCTCAAGCAACGTCTTGACACGGAGCTTCCGCAACTGAACAAACACCTCCAATTGCTGGACGAAGCCCGTAAGAAACAGGCGGAGGAGTCCAACAATCTGAAGCAGACCAACACGCGCCAGGCCCAGGAGCTTATGGAGCTGAAGAACCGCCTGCTCCAAAAGGAAGAGGAGCTCCTCAAAGCCAACGAGGAGTTGGAGAACAAGGACAAGACGATCGCTGACAAGGACACCAAGGAGTTGCAGCTCCGCAAACTGGCCAAGCGGTACAAGGACTTTTACATGGGACTTCAGGCCCAAACAGGAGGTGCCGAAACCACTGCCGAGCTGGAGAAGGTGCGAACCGAGCTGGAGGAGGTTAACAACCAATTGAAGGCCGCCAAGGAGGATCAAGAAAAGGTGGCCAGGGAGAACGATGAGTTGAAGAAGCGCACGGAACCCGAATCCGATCCCTCATCGGTGCGTTTGGAGTACAAGACCAAGCTGGACAAGTTGGTGGTGGACCTGACTGTGGCCCGTACCGAGTTGGCCAACCAGGAGTCCACTTTCGCATCCACCAAGTCCTCCTACGACGAAACCATTGCCCGACTGGAGAAGGAGCTGCAGGAGAACATTGCCGCCAATAAGGACATCAATCAGCGACTCACTCGCGAAAACGAGTCACTGCACATGAGGATTAACCAGCTCACTCGGCAGTTGGGCTCCCAGCAGTCCACCAAGCCATCGACCAGCTCTGTGGCAGAGAAGGGCAACATTTCGGAGAGCTCTCCGCGGACCGCCAATGTAAAGCCGATGTCCGGCTCCGCCACAGTCCAGCAGTCGGCCACGGTTACTCCCTGGCGAGGTGGCGAAACTCCTCTGGCTAGTATTAGACCCATCTCTGTGCAGAACAGCCGCACTGCAGCCATACTTCCTACCAGCCAGCAACCCTCGGCGGCCTCCAGTGCATCCACATCGTCGTCTTCATCGTCATCCTCCTCCACATCCACGACGTCTGCTGCGGCGAGCGGTGGGAGCTCTGCAGTGGCCCAAACAGCTTTAGTGCCGCCTCAGCAGCAGGTGCATACAACAGGAAGCGCTGCTCTCGAATCGATGGCCTCTTCGTCACCCACATCCTCGCACACGGATTACATGCCGTCCACTAGTTCCGCTGCAGTGGCAGTGGCGGCGATTCCTCCGATGGGCGCATCATCGGCCGCGGAAAGTTCTCAAGAGGCGGAAAGTATCCAGCACCCGCAGCAGAACGACGCCCAGCTCTTCGTGGGCGGAGCGCAGCAGCAGGTGGTCGCCCTGGTGTCGCCACGCGTCGAGGGTTCCTCCTCTTCGTCTAGCTCCACCTCTGCTCCCAACGCAACAGTGCCAAGCATCCAGGACGGCGGAAATCAGAGCCAGCAACCCAGCACCTCGGGCAGCAGCAGCAGCTCCTCCACAGTGGTGAGCAGCCACAGCCGTCATACTCCTTCCAGCAGCAATGTGACCACTACCCAGGCCGGCTGCTCCTCCGTGGGCATCAAGCGTCCGCGAGACGTGGAGGGCGACTCCTCCACCACCACCGAAGAGGGCGTGCCCGAGAAGATGGCCAAGATGACCAAGCGGCTTCGGGCACCCGTGCACAGTGGAGAACTCTCCGCTGGCCACATTGGTGACTCCGGAATGGATGTGGACCAGATGCCCACATCCTCTCAGCGCGACCAGGAGGACGACATCCAAGTGGTTGACTCGGACGACGAGGATGTTCTGGCAGATGCGGATGATGGTCCCATTGATGGCGGCGATGCCGAACAAGAGGTGTACGAGGACTCCTACGAGCAAGACAACGAGATGGACGACCATGAGGGAGCAGACGACGAAAATGAGATGGCTGCCGATGCACAGGACAACAACGAGGTCGACATCGAAGAAGTGCCGGAGCAGCAACTTCAGGCGCAGGAGGAGAACCAATTGCTCGATAGCCAGGCTGTAGCTGCAGTGGCAGTCCAGGAGAACAACCAGAGCCAGGCCATCACCAGCGGCAGTGGCGACTCCTCCAATCCAGTGGCCGCATCAACATCCTCGGCAGCTGCTCGTCGCACTGAAAGGTTTCTATAATAAGGTCTCTCTAATGCAACCACATTTCATCAATGTTTCTTCCCTCAGCTCGTTGGAAATTGTCAGCTCACCCCAGGTTTCAAACTTCAGTGAGCAGCCAGCCAGCCAGAGGGTAGAAGCTGCAGAAGTGGATGGCACAGCGGTCCATGCGGAAGGAGCATCCGAAGAACGTGCAGGTCCCAGCGGCGAAGGGGCTGCGGCTGCCAGTTCTCCACAAAAACAAGGCGATAGCGGAGAGGGTAGTGGCATCGATGCCAACAAAGCAGCCGACGGTGACGATCAAGCTGGTCGAGCAGAAAATGTCAACGAAGCGGACGAAGCATTCGCTGAAGAGACCCTAGCCCCTGGCCAAGAGGAAGATTCCCAGCCGTTGGGAAACGAAAGTAAGTCCAAGAAAAAGTAACTAAGATTTCCATGACTAATCTGTGGTACTTTTAGATCAAAATGTGGGAACGAGTCAGTCGGAGGTGTCCGATAACCAGGCCAATCATGGCGAGGGCAACCCCACGGAGGACAGCGAGGGCACTGATGGCGTATCCTCGGAGGGAGAGAAGCAGGCCGTCGGTGTCGAGGTAAGGATGCATTTTTGTACTTTATCTTATCACAAAATTACTAACTTACGCTATGCTGTTTGTTTTTTAGGAGGAGGGTCGTGAGGCAGAGGCCACCTCACCTTCGGAGAATACACGATTCCGCCAACTCCGCAGTGCAGTGCCCACTCGTCGCGGAGGTCGCGTCCTGATGCGCGGCGGTAGCCCCAGTAACCAAAATAGGCCGCAACGCATCGTCTGGCAGCGTGAGACGTCCCCTGGAAATGTCCAGCGCGAATCCTTGCCGCCTGGTGCTTCTAGCAACCGAGGATTCACCCAGCGTGCTCGCACTCGTCGTCCCCTCCGCCGACCGTCTCCTAATAATTTCAACAGCGGCGGGCGTTTCCCTTAGGATGATGACGGAGTGGCCACTGTGAGCGATGCAGAACTGGAAGCGATAGTTCTAGCCGGAATCTACGGGTGGCAGAGTGAAAGTTAAGCGATAAGCGAGTCATATTTTTATTAAATATTTAAATATTTTTCATAAAGGTTTAGTTAACATACGATTTAAGGAGCCTCTCGCTTATCGCTTTGCTCCCACTCTGACACCTTTCGAGCTATATCTGTCGTCCAACCATTTCGCATCACTTTCCGTGGCATCTTTGACATCTGACTTGGGACGAGGGAATGTAAGCGGACATGTTGACGAAAGTCCGCTGTAGGCTGACTATAATCATGGCATAAACTGGGGTAGATCTAAGGATCCTCGCATTTAAATATACAATTATCATAAGGTGGTTCTTTTTAAGAAGACGTTGATAAAACTACAATTCATTACTCAACATTCTATCGCTTGCCAAGTTGCAGCTACCAAGACGCAAAGAGCTTTTGTTCTTGTTTATAATATTTATTGTAGATTTTATAATGTCAATAAAAAATATAAAATGATCATTTAATCTTTTTTTTTGGTAATAATTGGTAATTCAAAATTACGACTTTAAGGGGAATGAAAGTAATTCTTAGACACGAAATGTGGAGCATCGATCGACCAACCAAGATGGCAATGACCTTAATTGGTCTAAGCCGGTAAAGCTTGATTAATTATGCGAACCACAGCAGTTAGACATGGAACGTGACCAGAATCAACGCCTCAAACATAATTGCCAACAATCGAAAGCTGGCACTATGTATAAACATTAGTGTAGCTGGCCAAGCTGGAAAAGTCTTAAAACATTATACCCACAATTGATTTAAAAAATGATCTACACAGATAATTGCTGTTTTTGTATCGGCCTAAAGTGCGGATGCATTCTGATATCCCTCATAGAAGTACTGATCCGGGGCATGGATCGCTTCTTCGTAGACCGTATGTGGTATTCCAAGTGGTTGTAACATTTATTTTAAAAACCTATTGATAAAGGCGAATCCGTATTGGGGTTTCTATCACTCGTGGTCAGCGGTGCCTATGTGATCTGTTGCATTTTTCTCCTTCTTGGAGCTGTGTTGGTAAGTTGCTTCGAGGTATTACTTTATCCAGTGGAGAATAACCTTCTCTATAAGGAAGCCAGATGCTTTCTATTGCCATACCTCATGGTGTCCTGTTTACGTTTTGTGGTTTTGGTCGCCGAAGGTGTATTTGTGGCCACAGAAGGAATCGTCAATGACTATCTAATATTTGATGTACTGCAATCCGGTAAGCTCTTTAAGATATTTATTTTATTAGTCTAATTTTTATTCGCCAATTTTTTACAGTTCTTGGTTTATATTTCTGGCTAGTGGTCTATTCCTACTACGATAGGCTCTACCAAGATTAAAAAAAATTATCTAATATTTAATTTGTATATTTTTTGTTCTTAAAATAAATTGTAAACAATTTGTGTTTGGCCGTTTGAGAATTTCAGGTATTTCAAACTTTTCTAATGGAACCCCTAGTGAAATCCAGGATTTTTATTTTAGCCCCAAGCCAAGTCCATATCTTGGCCAATTCCTATCCGATCCTTCAGCGGAATACCTTAAACAATTTGTAGTTCGATTCCCCTTCAATCTGCATCAAAACCCTGTAACAAAAATTTCGATCCAGATTTTTCAAATTTTTCTGATTTTTCTGATTTTTCTTGTAATATCCAGGATTTCCATTTTAGCCCCAAACCAAGTCCATATCTTGGCCAATACCTATCCGATCCTTAAGCGGAATACCTTAAACGATTTGTAGTTCAATTCCCCTTTAATCTGCATCGATTGTAACAAAAATTTCGATCCAGATTTTCCAAATTTTTCTGATGGAACCCCTTGTTAAATCCAGGATTTCCATTTTAGCCCCAAGCCAAGTCCATATCTTGGCCAATTCCTATCCGATTCTTGAGCGGAATACCTCAAACGATTTGTAGTTCCCCTTCAATTTGCATCAAAAACTTTAAACAAAAATTCTGATCAATATTTTTTAAATTATTATCGCTTCAAATTCTCCGAAAATAAAAATATGAGCCACTGCGAAAACCACATCGTGGTCAATATCAGTCGTCCAAGGAATATACCTTAACTATGAATAAAAAAAACAAATGCAGTAAGTGAGCTCATTAAAATTATTTATATTCAGAAGCTGATTCTTCTTTTTATCTATTCAAAAATGAAATCATTTCTATTTCATTTCATTTCTATATTTAGGTTTATACTCGTCCCACATTGTATTTAATTTATTAAAGATAATAAGAAAGGTAGGGAAATAACCCCTTAAGCTCTTTAACGATTCATCAAGATAAGGTATCGATGACGAGTGATTCTGAACGTATTCTCATTCAAAAATAATCCTCATAAAGCATTGAACTTGGCGCCTGAATCATTCCCAATAAATAAAGATCCGGCTCGAAGCTAATTTTGCATTCTCTAAAAACTGTTCTTTAATGGCAGCGATCATAAATAATATTTACATTCATGGGCTGTGACCTATCTGACTATTGAAACTAGAACTGCTCTAGGGTACGGGGGGCAGGTGGTGCTCCGTACTCCTCCGCGGGAGCAGCGGGTGGGCCATACTGGGTGGCCGGCTTGGGCTGCTGCTGCTTGTACTTGATGAAGTACACCTCCGGCTTGGAGGGCTCCGTGGGCTCTGGTGCCGGCAGGATAACGGGCTGCTGCTCCTCGGGCTTCTTAACCAATACATAGACCAGAGTCTTGTGCTCGTCCTGCACTGGAGGAGGCAACACCTGGCGCACAGGTGCAGGAGGGTTGGGGGCCTTGATGAAGATGATCTTGTAGTGCTTCTTGGGCACGGCGGTTTGGATAGGAGCGGCCGCGGGGTAGAGTTCCGGCTCCTCTGGCGGCACATGCACGTAAACGTTCTTTGTCACAATGGACTCACTGGCTGGTGGTCCATAGAACGCAGCGGGAGGTCCGTAAACTGGAAGAGGCTGAGCCGGAGCCGGGGGACCGTATTCCTTTTGGGGAGCCGGCGGCGGAGGCGGCCCATAGCGAGATTTTGGTGGCTCCGGGCGGGCCAGGGTAACGGCCAAGCTGGCAGCCACAAGGAGAAGGATGTACTGGGATTGCATGGTGATCTTGTCGATGGTTCGGCTGCGAATGAAGCTACAATTGCAGGTCAAGCCGTTATTATATATGAGTCGTTGGCCAGACAGCCGTTTGTATAACCCCCCTCTGGGCCACATTTTGCATAATATTTCCGATGGCTTCCCAATTGCGTTACGCGTAGCTCTTCAATCCGCGCCTGCACTCCGCGATGCATACAAATTAGCGCCAAGACTTCGTTTTCGATAGCAGCGGATTCCGTTTCGGATTGGAATTGGGATTCGGATTCGGCTGGGGGGTGATGAAAACGAACTCTGCCAAAAGGTAAACAGATCGGATCGAAGGGAGGGGCCCGGCCAGCGTCACGTTCTCCCTCTCTGGAACTTCCCGGCCTCTTTTTGTTTTTGTATTTTTATTATTTATTTTTTTTGGGCACTACAAGTATTTGCCAAAAGCATACCCATTAAAGCCCGATTGCGTTGTTTGCTGGTAATTTATTATGTAACTCGATTGACACGATCACATACCCGGCGCTTTGAGGTAGGCCAGGGACGGTCATTGCAATTGTCATCACCTGATGGATTACTTTTCTTGACGATAAAGTAGTGCTAGGTTAACAAGTTATACACACGTAGAACACAGGTTTTAAAATATGAACTACTTGGTACCTTTTCTGGAATAAATAAACGATGGAGTCAAACAAATATTACTCATACGCCGCGTATTACTAGTTATGTTAATAATGTGTTACTAAACTTAAGGTCCTTTGAATTCCATGTCAACGTTAACAACTCCCTCGGCATTTCATACTTGCCTTACAAAAATACTCCCAACGACTCAAAAAACTAAAATCCAAGCCGAATAACAATTAAATCATCATGATCTACCTTCAACGCTGCTTGTGCTGCGTGGATCTGCGCCTCGGCACTATTATCGTTGGGATATTACACATTGTTCTGGACGTTTTTGTCGCCATCTACGTCGCCGTTTTCGGGGAGTCTGGTAGGTGGAGGGATCTTCAACATAACATCAGTTAATGAGTTACTACAATTTTTAGGAAGCCCCGATCTGGCCCACAGATTGTTCCTTATCTTCATGATGATTCACTTTCTGAGCTGCGTGCTTCTAATTATTGGATGTTTAAGGGTAAGATGGACATTTTTTCTCAAAAATACGTTCTAAAGTGAGTTTTTTTTCTGCAGCTAAGGAGCAATGATATGATATTTTACGTACTAATGACCTTGCTCCAGATACTGGCTATGATTATACTCATCATATCCGATGTAATCCTTAACATTTGGTATTCGGTGATTCTAGTTTACGCCGTGTTGTTGGGTGAGTATTCTTTGGAAACATAATAATAATAATAGTATTATTATCTTTGTTCCTGTTACCATAGTGATAGCTATATACTTATGGCTGGTGGCTTACTCCTTTTACGCAGCACTCGGCGGAGCTCTTTTCATCTGAATGCGATTCGTGCCGGCATTCTCCAGATATGTTTGTAATAAATTGTACTGTGTCTATATGTAGTAATAAACTGCTTAGCTTTTTCCATCACAAAAATATAAAAAATTCGAGGTTAAAGGTTAAAATGTGGCGTCTTCGTAAATGTTGCTGCTTCTTGGGATTGCGCAAGGGATGCATCCTGATCGCCATCTTGGACTTCTTCACGAATGTCCTGGTGCTGAATTTTGCAGAAACCAAGTTCATCGGTCACATTGAACAGGCTGTGGCCATTTGTCACTGCATTGGATGCATTTTTCTTCTAGGTGGAGCTCTGATAGTAAGTCGGATATTGGAATCTTCAATAGGAACCAAAATATTCACATTATACCAATGCAGAAATCGAATGTCCTGTTGATGTTTTTTCTTATAACCAGCCTAACGAACTACCTCATCCTGATCGTCTACTGTGTCACCATCCTAATTTCAGGACAAGAATACGCCACAGCCACAGCTGCCTCCTGTACCGTCTATATTTGTGAGTTCCCCTCTTCAGTTCACTCCAATTGAAATATATTATCGTGTTTTTAGGCTTTGGAGTCTACTTTTGGATTGTGGTCTATTCGTTCTATGTCGAAATCAGAACACCCACCGATGTTTATGAGGTTTAAATTATTGAATACACTATTTTGCTAGAGATAATAATTGCTTTTAAGTTGATGGGATAATCCTAATATCCTGTTAGCTTAAAAGCTATTTTATTTGTACCGTAATATCAAAATAGTTTCTATAATAAACTCTAAAATCTATAAATTCGTTATCCTATAAAAAATCACCAAAGCAGTAAGGTTCATATAGAGTAGATGTTATCGATGGCACTTGTTTATTCCTAAAACGATAGAAAGATATACTTTTGGAATTAATCTTAATTTTTTAGTCTTATACGTATATGTATTACTTATTTTCTGTTGATTTGGTAATCACTTGTTTGTTAACATCATTGACGATAGCCCGGAAATCTTTGGTTAATGCATCTTTATTCATGACCTCGCAAAAGGTTTGAATGTAAATCGAGCCTGTCATTCCATGGCGGAAGCTTAAAAATCCTTCGGTGGTGCTGTAACACTTCATGATCCCCAAAGGATCTTTTCGAAACACTGACGAGTCCGCTTCCCAAACGCCTTTGCAGGCCTGAACTACTAGAATTAAAGGTTTTCCTTTCAAGGACGGGTTTTCAAGTAATGGGTGGACGACGTGAGTGTCCAAATCATACTCTCGATTATCAGACGCTGTAATTTTTTCCTTTGGGCTACCATGGCTCAAGATAACAATAATCAATGCAGATTGCAGCTTGAAGTCCCTTTTGGATACTGCAATAATAAATTCGAGTTATTATTTAAATATTTATCTAAAAGACCATAGCCTACAATTAAGAAGGGTTGATGTCACTTCATTTAAACCAGGATTATTAATAGTTTCTATGGAGCATCCAAGTTTTTTGAATGTTTTGTCCAGAGATTGGACATCCATAGAACTGCCAGCCCGATGTAGGGTACTATCATTGAATTTCTCGTGATTCAGTATGACTACAGTAGCAGGCTTTAGTTTTTTCGGATCAATTGGAGTTGGAGTTGCAAGATTTTCAACAGGTGGCATATGTCCTATGGCATCCTATTTTTAAAGAATATTATATTAAAAAATATTTTTTCCAAAAGAATATTATATACCTACACAACGTTGAGTAACCTGGGTTAACGTTGAATAACCTGTGTTATTAAAAGCTTCCTCCTTAAAAAAGAACTTGTAATTATATTTTTGAAACAATGTTATTTAGGTTAAAGCCTTGCTTACTGGTTTCACTGAAATAGCAACCAAAGGTAACTGACTCTGGAAACCCGTTGGACAAAAGAATATCATATAGTTAGATTGTGTTCTAAAAAGAAATATAAGAATTATTAAAACCCAAGCTACTTACTCTAAACCCTGAAAAATTCATGTTTGCTGGATGTTCTACTTGTCTTTGGGAATCCTTTAACAAAGTTAAATATTTAAATTTAACAAGAAAATAATTGTAATTAATTTAAAACAAAATATGGTTACTTACAGTTGGAAAACGCATTTCTAAAGGATACGATTTCATAGGTATTGAAACCAAAGGCACCTGTTTTAATGAATCCTTTAAAAAAGTATTATTTTTGTTAAGTTAGTTTAGTTTAGTAAATAAACGATATATGGTTTCCATACCGAACTCCTTTTGTCCATAGTAGTATATCTTTTCCTAGATGCTTAACTTTGCTTATACTTTTTATTGGGAATTTAATAAATTTCCTGTAACGATAGGTTGGCTTTTAATAAACGACTGAGTGCCTTGCATTTTTAAAACAAATCGCAATTCCCTTATCAAAGTTTGGATGGGCCTGCAATTGTTTATATAAAGCTTTAAAGTAATTGTAAGATGACACATAAATGATAAGTTGATAAATGATAAGATTTTAGGAGTACGCTGTTGACTAGGCTGGACAATTTTTTGCTGAGTTTATAGACAATTGGGTAGAATTATAACAAAACCATATTTTATTCTCCTATTCTATATAATATACAGAGTTTATTGATTCACATTTGGATTCCCATCGGTATAAACATTGTGGCCAAAGTAAAATTTTTTATTCAGACTTGGGACGAATGTTGGTATCTGCTTTTTTCTGAAAAGTAAAAAAAAATATTTTATAAATTATAGAATAATTTTAATGGTAAGGTTACCCGTTATAAGTTTCATTCGCCACTTGAACGCCTACTTTCTGAATTATGGTTTGGAAGTCCCACTTCCTTCCATATAGATTCAAGTGGATGCACAGGGCCTGAATATAGCACGATCCTGTCACCGAGTCACGATAACTTCTGAATCCTTCCGTGGTAGAGTAACACTTGATATATTCTGTGGGAGTGGATTTTATGGGTGATGCATCAACCTCCAGATTTCCTTTGCATGCTTGGGTAATAAGGATTTTTGGTTTTCCACGCAGCGTCTCATTCCTGAAGAGAGGATAAAGGACATCGTCGTTCAAGTTGTAAAATCTACCGTCACAGGTACTAATCATATCATTGCGGCCACCATGGCTTAGAATGACAATAACCAAAGCTGGCAAGTGCATCAAACAATCCAATTCCACTTAAAATAAAGTATTTGTATGTATCATAAGATATAAATTACATGTCTCTAAATTCTTACATTTTTTGAATATATTTTTAATATCAGCCAACTTTGGGTTCAGGATTTCATTTACATCACAGTTCAGGGAAGTAAAGGTGCGATGGAGAGCTTCAACATCCTGTGCCGTTCCTTCCCGTTCGCTGCCATCCTCAAATATATGATGGTTGAAGATCAATACCAATGGACGCGGTGCGTTCACAATATTTTTAGGAACTGAAGGTTTTTTTTTATCTTGTGTGTTTGTGGGGTTCATCTTAATGGCACTCAAGGGTCCCTGGGGGTCAGACTTTGATTTGGCAACACACCTGAGGACAGGCAACACAAAGTTGTCTCCGATCTCACCAACTCCGGGTATTACTTTTGCCATTTCATAGTACCTCTTCATAGGTGGGCATATATGTCGCAAAACTCCTTTATCCGTATCAAAGCACATGATGTCTTCAAGTAAATAAGCATTATATTCAAGGCGGATCCGATGTTATTGGTTCGACGTTCAAAAATAAACAGAACGCAGAAACCCTTAGACTTATCGTAATATACTACCTTTGAATTACAGCGCAATAAAACGAAAAAAACCCCTTAATATTTATCAATAATAGGCTATCATTACTAACATAAATTGATTTAATGCAGTTTAATGGAAACGAAAGAAAATTCATATAACATTTTCGCTTAAGTCTAAGTTGCAGAGTCCTTGCAGAAAAAATAAAAAAATATATGCTTTCATTTCATACGTCTTATCTCTAAAAGGTTTCTACATACACCTAATATTAGTGACAGTGCTATACAATTGAATTATAAATGGTATTACAAACTATTATCTACTCGCTGTTGACCAGTTCAAACCACTGCCGCATGGCCTCGCTGAGAACCAGAGGCAGCTGATTCAGGTCTCTGACGATCACATAGTACGGGAAGGGGAAACTGTCCAGGTATGAGCTGATGTTCACGGATCCATCCGCGTTCACCGCCACATGTTGTATGTCCAAAATGGAGTTCTACAAACAGAATACAAAAATATATACAAAAATCTGAAGAGCTCATAATGTTTGTATTACTCACCTTATTGTCCGGGTTGTCTATGATTATATAGACCAAGAAGATACGCTGCAATCGCGCCAGCTTGATAGCGTTCTTCACTTTCTGAGCACCTTCGCTGAATATGTTTCTTCCGTCGCTGAGGATGAGCAATAGATTCTCAAACAGGCCATTATCGCCGCCCAAGCCGCTCTCCTCCGTGTTGGCTGTGCGTATGAAATCCAGCAGACCGGCAATTTTCGTCTTCTCCTGGTCGAAGTTCAAGGCGTTGACCAGACGTGGACCGTCAAACTGCTCAGTGTGGTTTAAAACGATTTGTGGCGCCTCGCCGAAGGACACAATGCTTAGACGACCACTTTCCAGCAACGTCAGGGCCTGCGACACCAGCGATATGGCCTCCAGGGTCAGGGTCTTGGAGTTGTTATGATGCATAGACTTGGAGTCATCAATGGCGATGGTTATCTTGTAGTCACGCTGCGCCGGCTTGGTGCGCCTCAGCCAAATCTTGTCCTTGCGGAACTGAGAGGCAATGTATGGAATGATCTTCTTCATGTTGATCCTTCGTCCGGTGCGATAGTCGCCCTTTAGACGTGTGCACTTCGTCGGTTCCAGGATCAAACGCAGCTGCTCACAAAGCTCGCGGGCGTTCTGCGTCATTCGGTTAGAGATGCTCTGCCAGCTTTCGTAGTCCTCGTGCTGGGGTTGGGCCTAGAATGGTCATCAAATCATCAGAAATAGTTCACGAAGTAGATTTTTATTAACTCACCCCCCGGAAAGAGGTCAACTGTTGATGGTACTGTTGCCTCATTTCGATTTGCTCTGCAGAGGTCAAGTCCTCCGCGTGCGAACTCTTGTCCAGCAGAAGTTCAATGCTAAGCACGGAAGAAGATTTGGTTAGTCGACTCCACATGGAGAGAAAGCCATAGCGCTACTCACTTGCTGTGTGCCGTGGTCTCTGCGCTGCGAGGAACAGTCATGGTGGGTACCACTTCACCCTCGATCTCCATGCCCTCGGGTGTTTCCAGACGCTCCTTGGACTGCTCTGTCTTGGACGGTTTTTCGGACTTCTGCTCTGTCTTTTCGGCGCCCAACTGTTCAAGAGGAGCATCCTCTTCCGGATTGTTGGCTGGCTCCTCAGTTTCCATCAGTTCTTCGGGGTTTTCAGCCTCGTTCTCATCCTCGTTAGCCGGTTCGTCTTCTTGGTGCTGCACCTTCTTCGATTGCTCTTCCGTGGCGTTGTCCAGGGTGGTCTTGTCGCTGTTCTTTGGCTCCTTCACGTGCTGGTACTCCTCTGCTTCTGCCTGTTCCGAGGACTCTGGCTGCTGGGGTTCGGACTCTTCCGAGTCCTTGGACTCCTTCAGTTGGTCAATCGTCTTCAGTTGCTTCAGTTTGTTTTTCTCAGCTTCACCTGAATGGATTAGTTGGATTAGTTATGGAAACTAGCAGAGTTTGGGGTTAATGGATTACCTAAGGTTCGCTCCTCATTCGTCTGTCCTTGTTTGCGCTTCTCCTGCGTTTGCCTTTCGTTCTTGCGCTCCTCTTGGGAAACAGTCTCCTGGGTTTCCGCGACGCCTTGGTGGCCGCCATCATTGGTCTGCAAGAATAGTTTGTTTTTGTATTCAGATTTTAAAAGGTTGGTGGCCATTTAACTTACATCATTCTCGGCTTGTCCAACGCCATCCTTCTCCTCTCCCGTCTCCTGCTCATCCATCTTCTGGTCCTGTTTGATGTCCTGATCCTGCTGCTGCTGCACCTGGTCTGCTGAACTACTCTCGTCAGTTTCTGGCACAGACTGGACGTTCTCCTCCTTGCTGGCCTTGTCCTTGGACTGTGTATGTTGTTCCGGCTTCTCCTCGCGTTTCTCTTCATCCTCTTTGGTGTCCTCAGGGGCAGCCTCCGGCTGAGGCTCTTCCTCGACCTCGCCGCGAGTCTGTGTCTCTGGTTCCTCCTTTTCTTCTTCGCCAGTTTCCTCTTGGCCCTTGTCATCATCTTCCTGGCCTGGCTTGCTTTCAGTGCCGGCGACTTCCTCCTCGGAGTCGCTGCCATCACTCTGGGCATCCCCTTGCTCATCCTCGGCAGGATTCTCGGGGTCGTCCTGTTCCGGTTCTTCAGCCGGCTGCATATTCTCCTTCATGGCGTCAATGTCGAAGGGATTCTCGTCTGTGCCGTGCTCTTCCGGATCTTCGTGGCCCTCATCCACGTTGTTCATGTCGCCCAAGTCCATTTCCTCCGGCTCGGGGGGTTCCTCCAGCTCATTGTGCATGGCGTTGGTTTGCTCCTCGTCCATCTCGGGATCCTTCATGTCGTCAATGTCCTTAGCCTGCTCCTTGCGCTTGTCCTCGCCGCTTGGCTCATTTGTTGCATCTAGACCGTCCTTTTCGTGCTCATCCTTGCCATCCTCCTTGGCAGCATCGTTCTTGGTATCGAGGTCGTTGTGTGCATCCTTCTCGTCCTTGCTACCTTTGCCCTGGTCCTCCTCGTCCATCTCTGGCTCCTCGTCCTCGGGATTCTTCTCCTCATCATCGCCCCAGATCTGCTCGTCCAACTTCTCGGCTCCCTCCTCAGTCTCGCCCATCTCCTTGTTGAGGTCCTCCTCGTCCTCCTCGTCGGACTCACCGCTGTCGTCCTCCTCGGGCTTTTCAACATCCTGCATTTTGGCATCAAAGTCATCACTCATCTCTATGCCCTTCTCCTCCTTGCAGTCGGGCTCCTGCTTGTCACCCTCGTCCTTGCGGTCCTCCGGCCTCTTGGCATCATCCAGCTGGTCCTCGGACTCGATCTTGTCGGAGGCGTCGTTCTCCCCAGTACCATCCTCCAGGCCGAAGCCCTCGCCGTTCTTCGAGTCCTGCTTGGACTGACCCTCTTCGTCCTGCATCAGATCGGGGGGGACGCAGAAGCCCTTGCTGCCGATCTCCACAAAGACGGTCAGGACAATGGACAGCATCTTGGCGGACACTTTGTGGGTGGCCAGTTGTTGGAGCAGAAGGTAGTCCGCCAGCAGTTGGTATTGCTCCAAAATGGGCAACAAACTTATCGCTCTTTTCACGCAGAGTAGCTTCTCCTGATCCTTGGAGTTGGAGTGCTTCAGCACCAGCAGTACGTTGGACAGCTTGCCGAGGACACGGGGTAATCTGAGCAACTGCCAATCCGAGGTGAGCTCCCCAGTGAGACACTTTTTCAAGTGCTGCTCCCGCAGCGCCTCCTTTGAGGACTCCTCCGGCTCTTTCTCGGACTCCTCTGACTTGGAGTGCTGTTTGTAGATCTTCTGGAGGGATATCAGCACACTGTGGGCTATGTTGGCCAACTCCGTATCCGCATTGCTCAGATCTGTGGCTTCGGGGCTGATAGCCTCTGTCTTTTCAGACTTCAGGCTGTCCAGTAGCTCCAGCAGGGGATGCGCCAGGGGGAAGTGATCTTTCTGTCCGGCTCGGAGTAACTGAAGGACTTTGTTAATGGTGTCCAGGATCTGCTGATAGCCATCCCTGTAGGATTTCAGCTTATCATTGGAAAGGAACTCCAAGTTGGTGGTGTTCAGTTCGATCAGCAGCTTCTGACTGCTGCTGAGGATCTGCTTGCTCAGATCCTGGAGTTCACCTTGGGCAAGTGGCACGCTCCTTACCAGCACACTGTTTTCGCTGCTCTCGGAGAATGAACTGGGAGCACAGCTCAGGAGCAGCTGCCACTGCTTGAGGACGTAATGAATCCGGCAGAGATTGCGCTTCAGACTGGCTGCCTCATCGGCGCTTTGTGAGAAACTCAAGGCCAGAGAATCTGCTTCGGGTTGCGATGCAATGGCGGCCAGTTTCCGCAAACTCTCCAGGGAGTTGCGGAGTTCAAAGAGCTCCTTGGTGGATCCAGAGAGCTGCTCCCGCTGCTGTTGGACCAACAAAAAGAGATCCACGGCAAAGCCCTTGATGCGCTCGATGTTGGGAGGACCCAGCTCCGAGAGTCGGGTCAGCATGATGTTCTGCAGCAGCTTGAGCTTAAACACGCTCTTCATGTAGTACAGGTCCAGGTTGTCGTCCATTTGCTGGGCAGTTGGATGCAAGCGGGGCAACATGACTCGAATCGAGTAGGGTGGCAGCTGGAAGTCCTCGAACTCGTTTCGCAGCGAGAGCTCCAGGAGACCACTCTTGTAGCTGGCGCCCAGCCGATGCAGCATCTTGAAGAGGTCCGTCAGAGCCTTTCGCTTCTGCTGGAGGATCTGCTTGGCCTCCTGCTTCTGCTGAGGGCGCTCCTTGGTGCGGTCCACATTAAGCGATCGGAGGTGCTCGCATCGTTCCAGCTGGCTGGCCAGAAGGTCGTCCAGATCGTAGATCAGCTCCCCATAGGGAACCTGGGACAAGGTCTCCTTCACCACGTGACGGGCAGTGCGGAAGTGTTTGTCCAGTTTCTGGAGCAGCGAATTGTCAGCCGCAATCTCCGCCGGAATGGAATACTTTTCCAGGAGCTTCTCGCTGGCCACAAAGTGCTGACGATCCAGGTTCAGATACCTGATCTTGTTGTAGTTCCTCAGGCCCTTTCCCTTGTCGCTGCCAAAGGTGTAGTCCTTGGCGGTGGCATCCTTCGGCTGGAACACTTCACTGATCTTCTCCTGCAGGGTCAGGCGGAACTCCTTCAGGAACTTGTTCAGGTTGCGATGGACGGAGGCCACACTGTTCCTCATGCTGAAGTAACTCAAGTCCTTGCTGTAGCTCTGGATCTTCACAAACTCCTTCAGCTTCTTCTCGATGGGCGCTCGGCGGGACTTCACCGAGTCCGAGATCTCTCCCGCAAACTGGGAGAAGTACAGCTGGAGATTATGCAGTGCCGCGATGAGCGGAGGCAGTCCCTCGATCCGTCCAGCTCGTTCCACATTATGCAGATACAGCTCGAAGCCCTGCAGCAACTGGAGGCGGATGTGGAAGTCGCCGTAGCACGAAGCTTCCACAAACTGGCGTAGGATGCGCACTACCTGGGCCAGTTCGAGGCGCTGAGCCTCACCTAGATCCTGGGCATCCAGCAGCTGTTCCTGGGCGAAGCGCTGCTCGGCAAACTTGATGTCGGTATAGGACTGGTCCAGTTTCTTTTGGTGGAGGAATTGCTGGAGCAGATTGTAGATGAAGAACCAGTAGCGATAGGCTTGCAGCTCCACCTGGGCTGCCGTCTGGCCGAGGCAGTTGCGCCAGTGCTGCAGCTCCAACCTTGTCCAGCGCTGCACGAACTCGGCCACCTCTGTTTCCTCCGTCACCAGGTTGTTGTTCCTGTGAGCCACCTCGTTCCAGAGAGCCAGCTTCTGCCTCAGGAGCTGGAAGCCCGTGTTGAAACGAACAACCGAGGCGTGGGCTGGCAAGCGTCGGATGCGCGAGATCACCAGCTTGATGTCCGCCAGGCCAGCGTGTTCCGGATACAGCTCCAGCTGCTCCTGGACCCTCTTCTCGATTCGAACCATTACGTCCAGGCAGCTCTGGATCTCGCTGATGTTGGAATCTTTGTAGAAATCGTACAGCCCTCCAGCCAGATCTCCGTCCTCCAACTCGATGTCCTTGATCTGCCGCTGCTGAAGCGCCAACCCGAAGGCCAGTCCATTGCAGGCTTTCTCATCGAGACTGGCGCCCAGGGCTTTCCTAAAGTGGCCATGCAGGTGGGCAAAGACCTGGAAGCGAGCTTGGTAGGGCGACAGCAACTGCAGTTCCGACTGCCTCGACCCCTTCGGCGCTTCTCTGTAGAAGACCGGCGTGTGGTTGCTCATCACCTCGACAAAGTTGCGGGCCAGGAAGGCGTAGTCCTCCTCGTTCACAATCTGGGCCTGCTTCGCCTTGGCGTTGGCCTTCTTGTCCAGCTTCAGAACCTGTTCCAAGGTGGGCTGGGCCACGAACTCGGCAAAGTCTTCGTCCAGATTGGTGGGGAAGTTCTGTTCGATCTCCTGCAGCTCCAGCAGCTCCTCGCTCTCGACTCCGCCCTTGGTCTTGGTCACGTACAAGCTCTCCGCCTCAGCCTTCAGTTGGCAGCGGCGCTGTTCCTCCTGCTGCCAAGTCTGGTTGCAGATACCCAGGGCGTCATCGTAGGCGGCAAAGGTTGCCTCATCAATCACCTTCCCCAGGGATATGTAGTTGCTTAGCTCGCTCAGCTTGGCCTTCAGCAGCCGGAAGTAGTCGTGTTCACTGTGCGGCAGTTCAGAGAGCAATCCGTACAGCCTGCTATTGCGGATTACGAGCGGCTGTTGCGAAGGGAACTGGACAATGTCGGCTATGGTTTCCTGAATTTGCTCCGCCAGGGAAACGCTGCCTGCCTGCTGGACTCTGGCAAAGATCACCTTGAGCTTCTCCAAGCCGAATCGCATCTGGTTTACGGCGCACTTGATGGGCGCCACAAAGTCCTGGTAGTAGGAGCTGTAACGCGAAAGAGTGTGATGCACGAATCTCTGGGCATTGGCCAGCCAGAGCTCTAGTTTCCCAATAGCCTCGTGGCTGCTCTTCAACTGAGCACCTGTGACGGCATGGTCGCCCTGGAAGTTGCTCCATTCGGAGCGTAGCAACAGGAAGAGCTTGTGAAGCACTCCACAGTCGCCATTGGACTGCAGGAAATGAGTGAGATCCTGGACCAGGGCAGCATAGAGGCACTGCTCCGGACGCAGGGCCAACTTCTGGGAGAGCTGCTTCTGCTTTTGATGAGCCTCCTTCAGCCTGGCATCCAGTTCGCTGCAGGTTTCCTCTCCAAAGTGTCGGTACTTCATGGCGATCTTCATAAAATCATAGGCAGTACCCAGAGTACTCAGGGAGTCAATATCCTCTGCGATGTACAGGTTCTTCAGGCGATTCTTCTCTACGGGATCGATCAGTGGAGCATTGGTGAGCAGGCACAGCTCCAGGGCTCCCAACAAGGCACTGGCCAAGGAGACCTCAAAGGCTGTGGTTAGAGAGTCCAGATCCCCTTTGTTCAGATTTGCGACGATGCCTTCCAACTCCTTGGTACAGTTTTCGAAGCCCTCGTTGGGTTTCTGTTCCTGGCGACTCAAATGGTCAACGTATTCCAGCTCCCTCAGCAGTTGGCCTGTGTTTTCCTGGACCTGTGCCAGGTTGTTGACCCTTTCGCTGAATCTGGAGTTCAAGAGGTGTGAGTTTTCCCAGAGCAGTTTCCTGGTTTTCTGCAGAGCGGACCGCCATTCCTGCAACTCATTGAGAGGCACCGATCGTAACTGGCCATTGGATTGACAAATCAGGGCCAGGAATACACCCGACAAGGGTGGACCCTGGTAGCTGTAGCGACTGGTTATATCCGTGGAGTCCTCTTCCTGGGGTCCCTGCACGCAATCCAATCGAGTAGAGAGGTTCTCCAGCTGATAGCTCTGCAGAGAGTTGCGGTACTGCCTCTGATAGGTGCGCAATCCCTTGTAGCTACTGCTAATCTTCTCTAAAAAGTTTCCAAAGTGTTGCGGGGTTTCCAGCTCTTTCAACTCCTTTTTCATCTCACTCCAAGCCTTGCTAAACTCAGAGTAATCAGGACTATCGAGGGTCTTCAGGCATTGCCAGAGGTTACTGTTTAGGGCTAGCAACTGCTCCGTGTACAGGGGATTAACCTGCTCATCGAACTCCTCAGAAACAGTTCCTGTCAGCAGTCGCTCCATGAAGAATTCTCTCAAGGCGGCAATCAGAAGTGGAGGAGAATTGGAAGCCACACTATCCGGATGAATATAGGATCTGTCTTTCTCCGTTTCGCCTTCCAATAAGGTCTGAATACCATTGAGATCTAAGTTGATGTCCAAGCCGTTTTCTGGGCCAGTTTCTTGAAGGTCCTTTAGTTTCGTTTGCAGTCTTTGCAGGGCGATGTGCAAGGATTCATTTTGAAGTTGACCCGTCAGTTCGAAGGGTTTTAATTGGAAACCCTGGGTGTGGTGGCGCAAGAAGGAACGCCACTTGTGAGCCTCATCCGTCTGGAGGAGCAACCACCTCTTGATCCAAGCGTTGAGCTCCAAACTGCCATATGTGGGAACCACACTTAGCAACTTTTCCAGTTTCTCCAAATCCGTGTAGATTGAAATCTATAAAATATAGAAGATATTATAGTAACACATATGATAGATTTTAATCCAATACTTCACCTGTTGATCCTGATAGAAAGGCTGGAATTGAGTAAACTGCTTTGAGTATATTTTGCAGGACACGTTCAGAGGTCGCTTGGTTTCCTCAACGTATCTGGTGATTCTCAACCAACTATCCCGCAACAGAGACACTGTCTTATTCTGTGCAGGGGATGTGAGAAGGCGTTCCAGCAAATGCTTTTGTATCCACTGGAAGTGGAGCACCAGCTTGTGCATCAGCGGCACATGCAGTTCGTTGTTGTACAAGAGCTTCTGCTGGGCAGTGACCAGCAGGCGATTGAACCAATAGAAACGGGTCACCAACTGGGTATACTGCTTCAAATCCAAGTTGATTTCCTCCAGATTTTCCAGCAAGAATGTGTGCAAGCTTTCGAGGAAGCTCGAAAGGTTCATGAGGAAATCATTCGAGTACTTTGTGCTCACTTTCTGGTTCCTAAGAGCTTGGGAGTATTGAAGAGCACTCATCGCTTGTACTCCGCTTCCCGAATCATTCGGTATTTTAGCAACCAGCAACCGGGATAAAAGCAAGGCACTGAGATTAAGGACCTTTAGTCCAGCCACTTCTTCCTTCGTGGAATAATCTCGAAGTCTGGGGAAGAGGCTGCGATTCCAGGGAAGGTGGCCCAGAGATGCCTTTACAACTTTACTTTTTTTGTTCAGACAGGAGAAAAGCTTCAGGGATAGTTCCTGCAATAAAGGGTTCTCATCCAGCGAAGAGTTCAGGTAGAGATGCCTCAGTTCCAAGTCTCCAAAAGCCGACGACTCGTACAATATGTAAAGGAAGTAGCGCAACAGTTGCTGGACATTCAGATGATCCAGTTTCAGGTCCCCCATCTTGTGGAAAATGGATGCCAGCTCTTTTTGGGGAATTTCCTCCGACTCGGAGTTTCTGAGAAGGACCTTCAGGGCAACCGATTGCAGCTTGATCAACGTCAAATCGTTGAGGTTTCCAGAATTGAGTATGACATCGCCTAAAAGGTCATCTTGCTCTGAAGAAACCTCTTCGAATAACTCAGTCTGGGCGAGAACTACTTCTCGTAGTTTATTCTGGTAGTAGGACAATCCGTAGCCCATCAAGTCAGTGCTGGCGGAGTACACATACACCTCCATGGCGGCCACATAAATGGCCCGTTTCAGTTGGTAGCCAATCCGTTTGTAGGCGGCGCTCAGGAAAGCGAATTGCGTTAGATGGGATATGGAGTAGCTGTTGAACTCCGTCAGCTGGCAGATGCTCTGGTGGATGTGCAGAATGCAATTGATTGCCTCCGTTTGGTGCACTCCCTGCTCGTGGACAAAGGCCCGCATGTCATCGATCGAATAGGTATCCTTGGCAAGGGATAACTCCACACAACGGTTGCGCATAGCCCGCGACAGTTCACCGTTCTTGGGGTCCACCGTCAAGAAGGCACGGAAGTTGGGCGACTTTCTCACCAACTCGGCACTATCTTGGGCACTTATTCCCTTCTCAGCAATCAGCAAGCTTCCATTCGGTTCGAAGACTGGATTCAGGCGGTCCAGAACGGCCGAGGAGCACAGATTCACGTGCTCCAGCAGAATAAACTGTCCGCACTTCAGGGAGGTCACTATGCGGGAGTCCACCCATTCAAAAGATCCACCCGTGTTCAGGGAATCGGCCTTTTTAATGTATGCCTGCAGAACCAGCAGTTGCTTCTTGGTCTCCTCCAGATCCCTGAAAGACTCCACCAAGCAGGCTTTTGGGGTTTGCTCCAACTGCTTGATGATCCGGCCAAGAGCTGCCAACCGGTCACTGAACACCTTCAACTCATCGGCAACACTATGTTGCTTCGATTCTAAAATCAGAAGGTTATAGTATGAAACTACCACTAAGGATTCGGGCATTCTCCACTCACCTGCTGTAATCTTAGCCAAGCCATTGTATCTGCTCCAGTAGCTCCACAACTTCTCTGCAAATTCTGGATGGATATGTTGCACATAAGCCCGCTGGACGCTGGCAAAGACTAGGATCTCCACCTTCCTGTAAATCACCTCCAGGTGGCGGTTCAAGTCGATCTGCAGGAAATGGAAACTATTAGCGACAAGTCTTCACTGAATGAAGAAGACCCACCTGCTGGAAGCTACCAGTAACAGAGTCATCTATGATGTCCGTATTGCAGAGCCGGTTGGACAGCATACACAGGGCATCTATCAGCTTGGTCTTGCCACTGTCCGTGGATCCGCAGAGCAGCAGAGGCTTCTCCATGTGCACAGTCTCGACTATTTGCTTCAGAAGCTGACGCTGGCTGTCCAGCAGCAGAGGGCCCTCCTCCTGCCTGGTGGCCAGGTCCAGGACTTTTCTCTGCTCTCGCTCGAGCACCACATCGTTGAAGTACACCTTGTCGGCTGTCCAGTAGAGAGAAACATCCTCTGAAATGGAATTCAGTTCCTCCGCATTGCATTTGAAAGTTGAAGAGAAGGCGTTCCTTATGTAGAGCTTGTCCTGGTCGCAGCGCATCCTCTGGTAGTAGACCAGTTGCATTCTCTCGTAGAGGGTCAGCAGGAAGGAACGGAAAGCTGTCTGGAAACAGGAGGCAGTCCCCTCCATGATGTACCCAGTCTGGGGATTGTGCAGCAGATCACACCACCGGAGAATGTCACGCAAGTTGAACTCATAGGGTCCACCTTTGTAGCCAAACTCCATTGATGCTACACCGCGATCCAGTTGCTCTGAGAACCGCACCAATCGATCCGCCAAGTCGAAGGTATTTGGGGCGTCAATTGATTCCTTTTTCTCGAAGATATCGAACAGATTCCCTTGCGCGTTCCCATCCACAAGCTTGAGGAAATGTCCCTTCAGTTCCTCGAAGTACTTTCCGTATTTTATGTTTACGACGTGGAGCAGATCCTCTGTGGAAAGCTTCCGGAGATACACTTTCGTAAACCGATTCAGGAAGGACTGAGGCAATCCCTTGCGGCCGCCGCCCTGCTTCAGAGGATTCTGGCAGGCAAAGATGCGCGTGCTGCCCGCCAAGTGGAAGCTCTTGTTCAACTCTGGAATGTAGACCTCGCCACGGTGATCCAGCACGGCATTGAGACCCTCCAGAACGGACTGAGGAGCCAGATTCAGTTCGTCGAGCAGAATCCACGTATTTTTGGCTTTCAGAGCCGCCAGCAATGGACCATCGCGCCACACGAAGCTGCCCATCTGGCGACCAGATGACTCTCCCTTCGATTCGAGCAAGTTATCCTCCGCCGGCAAGTCTGTACCGAAGAGATCCGCCAGGTCGGTGTGCTCGCAGAGATTGATGCGAACTATCTGGTAGCCAATGGCTGCCGCTATACTCTCGACAATGGAGGTTTTTCCCACACCAGGAGGACCTTCGAGGAGTACTGGTTTCTGGAGCGACAGCGCCGAGAGCAGCCGGAACAGATTCTGTTTGGTGGTTGGCGCATCAAAGAAGAAGTCCCTCTTAGCCGTAATCAACGGATCCTGGTTCACTTCAATGAAAAACGGATGAATACCGAATCTCTCCACCTCGAACTGGACCTCATGGCCTCGCTTTTGGATGACTTCATCCAAGGAGAACTTCTCATTCAGAATTAAAGCCGCCTGTTTGACGGCTTCTTGGGTTACACGACGCTTGAGTTTCTCCACCTGCTCCTGAGATTCGTGTGGCAGCATTTCCAGGGCATCCAGGAAAATGGTTTCCAATCCAAAGATGGCCTGCTCGGCAAAGCTCAGCTTCCCGTTGCTGACCATGTAATTGGCCCAGGCCAGGATGTCCCGAACAGAGAACTTGAACTTTTCGTTCGAATCTCGAATAAACAGGACAATCTCCACCAGGAACTGGGCTACCTTGTGGGTATCGATTCCTTGAATGCCCTTGTCATCCGGTCGACTCATGCAGTTGTAGGCAATCTCAACCAGATCCTCCTTGTTGTCCGAAGGCAAGCACCAGATTTCAGTGAAACGATTTCGGAGAGCCGGCGAGAGCTCCTTTTTGCCGAAATCTCCTCCGGGATTCATCGTGGCCAGAAACTGGAAGCCGGGCTTCGCCTGCACCACAAAGTCTGGATTCACATCCACTTCGGCCACTCCGCCCTTCTCCGCCAGCAGCACTGTACGCTCGGGCTCCAGAACGCAGTTCAGCCGCTCCAGCACAGAGTCCTCGGCCAGGGATATCTCATCGGCCATGAAGTAAGAGCCTTCCTGCATGGCGTATATCAAGGGACCGTCGGCCCACTCGAACAGCTGCGTGGAGTCCTGGCCGCGACAGGGACGTAGACCGCCCAGGAAGTCGGCTCCCTCGGTGTGCATGTGGCAATTGAGGATTCGCAGGCGAACGTCCGCAATGCTGGCCAACAGCTGGCACACAGTGGTCTTTCCGCAGCCCGTTGGTCCGACCAGCAGGACGGGTTCATCGAATTCCAAAGCCTTGGCCGTCAGGACGGCCATGCGGGTCATGTTCCTCGTCCAAACAATATCAGCCCGCAGCTTGAAGTTTCTTATGGCGTCCAAGATCTTCCTGCTCACCATGGAGGAGCTCTCCCGTTCGGTTTGGACGTCGAACAGCAGCTGCAGGTCCACCTTCTTGCGGAAGTTCCCGTGCAGAGTTTTCTCAATGAGTTCGTGCTCCTCCTGGGAGCGAACTTTGGACGACAGGACCAGATAGCCCTCCTCCACCAGATGCTGGTTCCAGTCGTATTTAGGATCTCCGTGCAGGGACTTGTCTGCATGGGTATAGCGGTTACCCCAACGGAAGAGATCTCGCAGGGTGAAGACCTGTTTGGCGGTGTTCTGCCGATGTTGCTGGAGCTGCGCCATGCACTGGACCATTTTGCGGGAGTACGAGGGCGGGATCAGGCAACGCTTCTCCAGGATAATCTCCAATTCCCCCCGCGGTATATCGGCAAAGTGAAGCTCTATGAACCGATTCTTGAAGGCCCGCGATAAGGTCTTCCTTCCGCCATAGAGTCCAGGAGGATTCTGGGTCGCGAAGAGCATGAAATTCGGATGAGCCTTGACCAGCGTTTGGGTTTCCGCTATATACAGCTCCCTGTTGTCATCCAGCACGCGGTTAAGGGCCTCCAGAATGTCCGTAGACGCGAGATTCAGCTCGTCCAATATGATCCAGAATCCATGACGCATTGCCTGCACCAATACCCCCTCCCGGAACGTCAGTTTTCCATCCAGATCCGCCGCATAGGTGCCAATGTACTCCTGCAGATCCGTGTGCTCGTGATTGTTGATCCTCAGGCAGCGATTGCCACTTCTCCGGGCCACAAAGTCAATCAAGCTGGTCTTGCCGGCACTGGTGGGTCCCTGCAGAAGGATGGGCAGCTTGCCAATCGATATGATGCGGGCCAGGTCCTTTAGATTCTTCTTCACACTGTCCGTTAGGATGTAGTGGGAGCAGGCTTGCGGTTCCAGGTTGCCCTGCTGTATCCAGTAGCCCTCGAATTCTAAATAGTTGTCGCCAAGCTGGGGCAGTTGTTTACTAAGAACGGCCTTGGCATTCGTAAGCAGAGCGTTCTGGATGAGTAGCAGGACCACATGATGCGACTCTGGATCCAACTGGGTGAGGAAACTCAGGCAAAAACTCTCGTACAGATTCCTCTCAATGGAGCCGCACAAGTTCCGGGCACAGATGCGCAAGCTGCGACATAGAGTACGAAGGGAGTAGACCGGACGATTGCCCAGGCCATCGTTAAGCTGGAGCTCAGACAGACGCCGCAGGGATTTGTACAACTGGACTATGCTGTGAACGGACTTGCGCTGGATGCCAGTGTTGGCCAGGTAGTCACTCACCAGGAGACTCAGATCCGCATCGGTTGTCAGCTCGTCCACAAAGAACTCCGTGAAGCGGTTGCGAATGCCCACTGGCAGATCCTTCTTGCCAATGTCCGTGTTGGGATTCATGCAAGCGAAGATCCGAAAATCTGGATGGCGTTTAACGGGCGTAAAGTCACCTCTCTCCAGCAGTACGACGGATCCCTCGGGCTCCAAAATGGTGGACAGACACTCTAGGGTTTCGGCAGAGGCCAGATTAATCTCGTCGAGCAGAACCCAATCCCCGTTGCTGATGCAGTTCACCAGAGATCCTGGGATGAAGGCAAACGAGATGTTGATGCTCTTGTCCAGCTGCACTTGCAGCTTCTGCAGCTTGTCACCCAAGGACTGCCAGCGGGGCAGTAGGTGATTGCGCTTCAGATCAGGATTGTTGGCCACCTGGAGGCATATTTTAATCATCATCCGAATAATTACAGAGTGGCGGCCACTGTTGTAGTGGGAGGCGAAGATGCGCAGGAACTGCATGTTCTTCTCGGCATTGAAGGTCTCGCACAGCAGGTGCTCGAACTCGAATCGCAAAGGGGCAAGTACATAGTTCAGTTCGACAGGCTTGAAGCCGCCGACCAAATCGGAGACATCCGACTGGTTGTTCATGTTCACCACCACCAGTTTGTGCTCTGTCCGCTCTGCCAGATACTGCACGGATGAGGTCTTACCCACGCCGGTCTCGCCAACAAGAAGCACGGGCTCGGAGTGGCTCACGCACACGGCAATCCGCTCCAGGATGCAGCTGGCCAGTCGCGTAAACGAGAAGGTGGACTTCTTGGTTCCAATCTTGCCGATAGCTCGTTTCGTTTGCTGGGTCAGCTTTTGGCGCTTGACGTCCTGCTCCGTCGTCTCTCTATTTTCAGTATCCTCCAGATCCGACTTGGCCAGCAGCTTGGCTCTTCCTATTTTAATGTGCTCCAGGCCGAACTCCACATCTGGCTTATGTTCATTCGCGAAATGCTCGCATCTCGAGCGAATGATGCCCAACTTGGCCCCGATGCTTGTGATTAGTGTGATCTTCTCCTTGCTGTGAGGCAGATACGAACAGAACACATCCACTGCGTTTTGGAATACAAAATACGCGCACTCTGCGCTGGTCACCGAGAACTGGGCGTTGGAACGCTGGCACAGCTTCACAAGGTCACGGGTGGACACCAACCGTCCTGAATTGGGACTGGACGTTAGGGTAACCTGCTCGAACGGCAGGGCCACATAGTTCTCCGTGTTGTCCGCCTTATCCCCAGATTCCTGTTGCCTCAAATTATCAGCCGATGAGTGATCGCCACTGGAGAAGGTAAGGAAGACGTCCACCACTCTGTTGGCCACAGTCGCCAGCTTGGGATAGTTGGTACTGACCACTTTACAGAGTTCATTGCGAGACAGAGGCAGTATGTTGATGGTGTACAAATACTTGTCGAGTAGGGAGTAGAGCGATTTCTGGCTGGAATTGCTGGCAGACTTGTTGGTTCTGAAAATTTGAAAAAAAGGAATCCTTTAAAGAACAGTTCCATTTAAAAAATAAAAAAAATTTCCAACCTCACGGTGACGAACAACTGGAACCCTGGCTCGATCTTCACAGAGTCTCGGAAACCGGGAACACTTAGACTTTGCCGCTCCAACAGACTACTTAGTATAGTGTAGGTGTCCTGAGTGGCTGCATCCAGGTCCTCGAGCAACAGCCAGTAACCATTCATGACGGCCTAAAAACATTTATACTTTAGAACGAACTTGAAAGTGAACTTGAAATGGAAGACTCACCTGAGTCAACACTCCTGGCAGCCACACGAATTCGCCGGGCACATCCGTACAGCGATACTGTCCCAGCAGCATCTTGCTATCCGTCTGATCTCCCAACTGAATCCGCAGGAAACCATTCTTTTGAGTCGTCTCGCTTAGATCAAGCAGTTCTTCGATTGGCACATCGTCCAGCTTTCGCTTTTCGCCGGTCTGTTTTGGTTTCTTCTTTGGCTTGGTCTTGAGTGTCAACAGCTGCTCCTCCTCCTCAGCCTGTTTCAGTGCCTTTTGCCTGTTCTCCACTTCCTTTGGCTTCGGACAGATGCGTCCAGTTTTGCGCGCCAAGTACTCTATCAGTGTCGTTTTCCCACATCCCACCGGTCCGGATAGGCAAATGGGTTTGGCGGCAGCCACACCCAAGGCAATGCTTTTCAGATTCACCACAGTGGAGTCTACCTTCACAATGCGGTCGTAGCAGCCATCTGTACTGGCATAGAATTCCTGATTCTCCTTGTTAAAAGTTGGCAGCAAAACGCCATCGATGTTGGTCACAGCCTGATTGAGGCCCGTTAACTGCAGGGTCAGTACTTGATCGGAGACATCCGGGTTATAGGTCAAATGGGGCTCATTCCATGCCTGGACGCGTTCACGATCGAAATCCAGCAGAGTTTGTGTAGGTACTTTCGCGTTTAAGGCACTGAGCTGTGGGGCGCTCATGTTGGTAAGCATCGCCATGATGTGGTTGGAATACAGCTGTGACAATGGACATTTAGGAGTTGAGTTGGCAGAGGTGGATATGAAAGTGGACCAGTCCCATAACTCCCGGAAATAGGCTGTATCGCTTTGAAGCAACTGGTAGCAACAGCGGATAATGTCCAAATCCTCCAGTGTTCGGCTACTGTCCCCATTCCGTAGCTTCTTTGTTGGTGCAGTGCCATTGCTTTGAGGTTTCTCGAAGGGAGCAGGCTTCTTGTGGAAGTAGCTCTTGGCAAATCTACACAAAATAGACATTTTTAAGGCCTGACATCGTTGTTTTGTTTGAAAACTTACCGCTGGGCATCCACGGAGAAATTCACAAGCTTGGCTAAGGCTGCACATTGCATTTGATACTGTTGTAAGTTTTGAGATGCAGGGTCCCAGCGTAGAGCCATTGAGAGCAGTAGAAGCAAGTGCTCTTCAAAGCTAATGGCTATGGGAATCGTGTAGTCCGCCACAGGTAGTTGCTCGCTGAGCGACCGAAATAGGCGTTCCACATCCTGGGGCACATATTTCTGCAACAAATGTAAAATGTTTAAGAAGATCCAGTTCATAGACAGTTTCAAGTCCAATCAGCACCCACCTGCTTTTTAATGAACTTCTGTAGACTCTCGGCGAACACGTTGTCAGAGGTCTCATTTTCGGTTAGCCTTAACAATCGCTGTACGCCAAACCGTACCTGGCTAGCGTTTACCTCCATCTTCTCGCTAACCGGCCAACTAAATATTGTGATTTTAGTCAATTGTCTTTTTGTCCGCCCTCTTTTAATTGCCGTAGAAGTATCAGGGAATGAAGAGCAAAACCAAAACACGCGAATTTAAACATGTGCGCAGACAGCGTTGCCACAGGTGCCGGCATTGGCCAACGTGGCAGCCCTGCTCAAAAAGAGCCGGTACAGTGAGCCGATAAATGTCAAACGATTTTTAAAACGACGCGCGTTCCTTTTCCGCGAACTGACGAACATCAACAAAGTCTTAACATCTTAACAAGTCTTAACAAGATGAATCCTACCATCTTGACCAATATTGACGCTCATAGTTTTCCGGAGGAGGATAAAAAGACTTTTCCTAATGTGACCAGTCCCAAATGCATCGGCTCCTACTCCATTTCCCCTTTCGGAAGCTTTGAGAATAACAATGATCGGATGCGCTACATAGCTATCCCACCTCCCAAGAGGTTTCCACTACCTCTTCGCAACCAGGAGCGCCAAGTCGTACCCATAAAGCCGCCACAGGAAACGATCGACAACACGCTATTGTTTATTGAGAGCATGCGGTCCAGTTTGCTGAAAGTGGTTGATATGCGCGTGGTGGTAAACGCGGCTTTCGTTTGCCCCAAGGAGGTGCTGGAGCTTATAATGTTTGCGCCCTTCGAGAACAAATACGGATGGACGCTGGGAGCTACGCGATTCAGAGGCACCCTCTACCTCTGCGTTTTGGAAAAATGCGAACCCGATAACTTTGACCAAGATAATCTTGAACGTGTTATGAAGGCGAACTGGATTAGAAATCTTCGCATGCAGGTTCTGTCCGGTACGTGCCTTCCTTCGCAGCCTTCGCCTTAAATAGCAACCTCCACTGAGAATAATAAAACCGATTTTGGTCTACTTTAGATAACGGACAGAGACAGCCTTGTTCTAGAGATATGTCCGACGAAAATAACCGATTCAACGCAGCGTTTACTTTAACTTTAAACGACCAGACCATAATATTTGACTCCCCGGTGTTGGCCGAAATAAAACCAAATCAATAGTGAGTAACAATAAGTAGTACGACATTTTTCCCATATTATTCATCAATTTTCTACAGTGTTTCAGCCATTGAATGGACGGACCTCAAACTCCGGCAGGACAGTATGAACCGCAACGAGTGGGCGCACCACAATCGCACCGATGCCATCAAATGGTGGATTGATTCATATTTGTTGAAGTTGGACAACATGTATATAGCTCATCGGGATGAAAACGCCTTTGTCAGTACTATTAAGAGGACAGGGGCTGGTGAAATGTGCAAAGAATTGGTTAGTAACCCCTTAAAGTTTCATTAACCCTTTAGGCCGAAGTCTTACCATAAACAGACTATTTGCGAGGATGATTAATCTGATAAGCAAATACAAGTTTTTTTTTAATGTTTGTGCTGCGTTTTAGCACCTAAACAAATACGTGTAGAAGCACTTGTGTTTTTTTATAGATAAATATTCAAAAAATTCAATTTTGAAGGCTCATTTAGTCATTTTTAGTTTATGGTTAAACTTCCTCCATTTCATTCCAACTATACAAAACTTTTTGTTTTCAGGATCCTATTGCGGCTTTTTATTGTTGCAACTTTATGGCACGTTTATTAAATTGCATTTCCAATGTGATGGTCCACGTCGACAACCCCAGCACCGTATACACCTTTGAATACGATGCCAAGACCGGTAAGGTGGCCCAAAGGGCTTTCGAAGGCCGCAACCAGTACACCTTCGTCGCGGACTGGTTCCGCATAATGCTGGATGAGCATTGGGAGGACTTGAACGAAGAGAGAACCAAAAGTGAAAATCAAAAGAAAAATAATTATTGAGTAATTAAAAGATTTCATTTTATTGCGACACATCAATTTGTTTTCATTCGCTCATCACTATTAAATAATTTAATACAATTTTGCTGAAGTATTTTAGAGAATGCATTCGATTTTACAAAAATATGGAAATGCTAGTTGGCGTCCAGGATGTACTGCCCCCGGGATACACATTATAGACTACAGATTACAGCTCGGTCTTCTTGGGCTTGCCGCTGCGGTCAAAGCCATTCAGTTCTGTGGTAGCCTCCTTGGCGATGTACTTGATGAAATCATCCAGCTCCCGACCGCCGTTGTAGCTCACGGGCTTGTTCTTCGAGTCCTTGGGCAGCCAGAAGAGAGTGGGGAAGCCGCGCACATTGAACTCTGGCGGCACGTCGTTGGCAGTGGCATCCATCTTCACGATAGACACATCCTCGTCCTTCAGTTTCTCTGCCAGCTCATCATAGATGGGGGTCAGCTTCTTGCAGTGTCCGCACCACGGGGCGTAGAACTCGATCAGAGTGTCCTTGCCATTGTTGATCACAAGATCATCAAAGTTCTTGGCAACGGCAACTTTAACGGGAGCGTCGTTGGACTCTGGAATGGGCTCGCTCTTGATGTAGGGTTCCAGCTCGTTGGCCAGCAACTTCTCCACAAAGTCCTGCAGGTTCTCCACGGAGAACTCCTCCTTCAGGGCGTACTTGAGATTCTTCTCGTCGCGGGCCAGAATCACGGGCTTGTCACCGACGAAATCGTAACCGTACTCGTTCAACTCATGCTGGAAGTCGTCCTTGGAGGCGATGGCAAAGTTGATCTGTCCGGCAAACTCCTTGGCCACCTTGAGAACACGGTTGCGCCAGTAGTTGGTTCCCTTGGGGTTCTTCTGGTAATCGACGCTGTAGTAAGCGGTGATCAAGGGGTTCTGGAAGTCGCGGGCTGTGTCCTGGGTGCGGTGGCCCACCAAACCATGGCTATAAAAGATTTCGGAATTTAGAAATATTCGGTGGAAGGAAGGGTCAACAAGTCGACTTACTAGTTCTCCTTGAGGAAGGTGATCAGCTCGGACTCGGAACTGCCTTCGAACTTGAGGGTGGAGCTTTCGAATTTGTTGCTCAAGTGGGGGGCACGGATCAGCACAATCTTATCGCTGTGAGGGAAAAAGATAAAAACCAAAGAATTTTATTACTAATACAAAACTAGAGCTCTTACAAAGATATCTGGCTACTCTAACGATTAAATATTCTTTCAAGATATTATTATTTTGTTTTAAAACCTTTCTCCCAATTATGGCTTTTGTCTAGTTTTGGTAACAGAAGCATTACTTAACGCGATTTATTAACACTTATAAAATATATATAAACATGGAAAAAGTCTTGAGTTCGTCCTCCCACTTACGTTTCGCCCTGCTTGGCCAGGATATCGGCATCGCTGGAGTGTCCGAAGCGGTACTTCTCACGGTTCTTGTCGGCGAACTTCAGGAACACCTTGGCCAGCTTGGAGTCAACATCACTGAAGTAACCGAACAGAGTAGTGTCCTTGGTGTCCAGGAACTTGGCCAGCTCGGCAACGGATTTCAGTTGCTTGGAGGCCGGTCCCACCTGAGCGCGCATGTACTTGGCAATGCCGTTGGCTTCGCGCGGTCCATTGTAGTCCTGCGAGACCTCATCCTGACGGAAGATCTTCAGTGTGGGGTAGCCGCTGACCGAGTACTTGCTGCAAGTCTCCTTGCCGGCCTCTGTACAATCGACCTTGGCTAGCTTGATTGGCGGATCGTCGTCCTTGACGAGCTCAGCCGCCTTGGCGTATTCGGGCTTCAAGCGCTTGCAGTGGCCGCACCTAAAGTTAAAGAAATAAGATTTCATTAAGACCACGTCATGTATAACTTTCGGGGATACACAACAAAGTAATTCTTCATTTCTTATCAAGACAGCGGAGAGACAAGTTCCCGAAATTTAACTCAACTAGCTGGCTTGTAATTAAAGTTGGGTGCGGGACGGGACATACCATAGTTCTTATCGTTCTCCCCACCATTAAGAGCCAATTCTAATTAAAACTACTTATGTTGTGCGCTGATAAGGTATTGTATATGCCGTATGGGGATTATAATTCCCCCAACAACAGAGCGTAGGCTCGCCGGCCGGCAAGCCACAAGCACCACTTATTTGCATAGCAAGTTCATTGCTCAAGTGCCAAGTGGGTTTTTTTTCTTTGTTTCCCCCGCTAATGAATGGGCAACAAATACTGCGCCGGATGGGGTTGGGGTACGTGTTTATTTTTCCACATCAATATTTGATGGAAATCATATTAGTGGGCTTTACTATTTAAACTTCAATTATAGACTAGATGCGGCGCATTGGATTGGAATAAGTTTAATTGTTCCGCTCAATTTAGTAGAGATATTAACTAAAATTGGTGCTGGCTACGAATCGAAACAAAGGGTTCGCTCCATTCGCTATGGGAAAAATGGTTAATTTATCAAAATATTTCATCATGGGCCGGTGTTTTCTGTTAATTTTTAACTTCTGGGCGCACAAATCGTTAAAATGGCCGACACCAACACTCGCAAGTCATCTCTTTACGGTTTTTCTTCATTGCCGGGTAACGCTGACGTGTACTTTAGGTTCGATTGTAGGCCAAGTGCCGGCTACTGCGGCGGCAGCGAAATTCAATTAAAATGCAGACGCAACAAGCTGATTATCCAATTTCACACGCAATGCCACGCCCCGCACCACCCATATAATCCCAGATAGACTTACCAGGGGGCATAGAACATAACCAAGGTGGTCTCATGCTGCTTCAAAGTGGAGGAGAAGTCGTCGTCGCCCAGTTCCAGAACGTCCTGCTCGGCGCCGGATGCGATGGAGATAAAGCCAAGAAGGAGCACAGCTGCTGACAGGCGCAACATATTGCTATATTTTCAGATTCGTTTAAAACGCTATCAAATAAAACTAAACTAGCTTCTCTCAGCCGTCTACTACACTGTGAACGACCGGACCGGTTGACAAACGATTTTGCTTTTGCTTTTGACTTTTCTTTCTTTCGCCACGTCGCCTTCTCATCTATTCGTCTAGTGTGACCAGCTGTTTTACAAGGAAAAGGCTAAATAGTCCAGTCACAATAAGCTTTTTAAATTAAATAAATAATAAAAATAAAATCGTTATATTTACAAATTAATGCATCATGTTACTAAAAACTTAAAAATTTATTTTTAGGCCGAACATTTTCAAAACCTAACATTAGCAAAATATATTTCCTAACCATACTCAACAAAATAGTTCTTATCTACTTTGCTTCGAATCTGACTAATGCATTTATTTATTTCACAAAGATAAGCAATTGCAAGAAAAAGCTTTCTACGTTGCCTTTAAATAAAAGAGGCGAATTTTATTCAAGCTGAAAGTTTTCAATTGCCAAATAGTGAAATATGTGTTGTAATCCCTGACATCATTTATTTTACTAAAATTTCAAGTAAGTTTTTAATATTTGTTAACTTTTAAATATGCAATATTTTAATTATACAATTATAATATAATTATAAATAAAAAATATATTTTTCCCAAGTATATTGCAAACTTTTAATCAGATTTCCCAATAGACCAGAAATATAAATAGTTTTATTTTTTCTTAAACTTTAATAGAATTTTTTGTAGGTAACAAGAAAACCGCGTTAAACTAAAAACATTACTTTTAAATTTACGTTAATTTAAAAAGAAATAAAGTGACCATTCAACGAATGGGATTTAAATATCGGCTAAAAACATGACAGCTTTTTGACAGTTAACCTTAGTGTGACCAAACACTAGTTATCAAAAAATAACTTCGATATACATATGCATACATTTTCGATTCTAACCTCGGAGCAAGCCCCGGATATTCTCGTTCACTTTGTTCAAATCCGTCGCCGACTTCGCTTCGTGATTTCCAATTTCAACTTATTCGAGAGTAAGTTTCATCAGTGAGGTTATAGTGTAATAGAAAGTAATTAATAGTGAATTGTGCAGTGAATCTGCAGCCAACGAACAATTAATAAACAAATATGCAGTTTCGACGCTAATCTGTGCATATTTCGGTGTCTGTGTGTGAGATAACCTCCAACCACGAGTTGCAAAGTGAAAGGTGGTGTCCAACCGAGCGAAAAGCAAACACGTGGCAGTCGGCACAAGCAAAAGACCTGCTTCCGTTTTATTTGCCAAAGCAATGCAATTTAATTATGGTTTTCCGGCATATCTTGCCGCATTTTCGCCCCCGCAATGTGGTGATTTTTGCAGTTTCGCTGCCACACCCACGCGGTCAGGGGTCATCCACCACTTGGTGGTAATTAGCACGTGAATGGCTCCATCTGGAACGTTCTCTGATTTTAGATTAAACGTGCTGCTTGCTTGCTCGCATATTTTTTTCTGCTTTCTATTCGTATATGTATCGTATACATCCAAAATGGCGGACCACGTTGCAGTGGTGTGACTCAAGTGGGCAAAAATCTTACCTAGCAACACGCGAAATGTCTGATGGCACCATTTCGGCGGCTTGCGAAATGCCATTCTATGAAAGTTTTCAATACTTCTCTTTCGCCTAATTAGGTTTTTCCTAAAATGGCTGCCTAATGCAGTTCTCTCATCTTGATCAGACATTTTTTTTTATCGTCCCTCTCCCATTTTTCCAAATGTGCCACCGCGGCGATCATTTGCCTTTGTGTAAGTCACACACACACACACATACACACTGACATGGGACGCCGCCATTTTTCTCTCTCTCTATCTTTCTTCCTCCGGCCGGCAACAAGCGTCACACCACACACATACACGTTGGCATTTCCAGATTAGCACATTTGCGAATATAGAGATATAAAAAAAAATTTGCTAGAACTTTCTTTTCGCATATTGAGGTTCTCGATTTTCCATGATGATTACCTTTCAGTTCTGCTACTGAAGATTTTTGACGATAGCAAAAATACCAAAATCACTGAAAAAATCGAGAATTAAGTTTTTCTTTATTTTTGCATATATATTTTGCACGTTTTGTGGTAGTTTTCCGTTCAACAATTAGTCACTATCTCCGTCCCTCCTTTGCCCCGTCCGGTACTTTCCACCACTACCAGCACATGCGCCTCAGCCTAACCTCAAAGCACATCGCTGAGCAAAAAACACGTTTTGTGCGGTGCGGCAGTGTTTGAGGTTAGGTTGAGGGCACGCAAACAAGTCGAAAGTCGAATAGATTAAAGAATGAAATCAAAGTTTATGTGCAGCAGGCAATGAAAGTTTTTTTTACCCACTAACTCTGATGATAGTAATTAATTCTAATGTTAACCCAATGATTGCTAACGATTTGTTTTCCCCCCCATTTGTTTCTCCCCCCCGCACGCTGTTTCCCACCTGTAAAACCAACCGTACCAACCCACACACAACCACGCATACGAACATGCACGTGCAGCTCTCGTGTAATCCAAGATGGGCAAGGAAAAGATTCACATTAACATCGTCGTCATCGGACACGTCGATTCCGGTAAGTCGACCACCACCGGTCACTTGATCTACAAGTGCGGTGGTATCGACAAGCGTACCATCGAGAAGTTCGAGAAGGAGGCCCAGGAGATGGGCAAGGGCTCCTTCAAGTACGCATGGGTTTTGGATAAGCTGAAGGCCGAGCGTGAGCGTGGTATCACCATCGATATCGCTCTGTGGAAGTTCGAGACTGCCAAGTACTACGTCACCATCATCGACGCCCCCGGCCACAGGGATTTCATCAAGAACATGATCACTGGTACCTCCCAGGCTGATTGTGCCGTGCTGATCGTTGCCGCCGGTACCGGCGAGTTCGAGGCTGGTATCTCCAAGAACGGCCAGACCCGTGAGCACGCTCTGCTTGCCTTCACCCTGGGTGTCAAGCAGCTGATCGTTGGTGTCAACAAGATGGACTCGTCCGAGCCCCCATACAGCGAGGCCCGTTATGAGGAAATCAAGAAGGAAGTGTCCTCTTACATCAAGAAGATCGGTTACAACCCAGCTGCCGTCGCTTTCGTGCCCATCTCCGGCTGGCACGGCGACAACATGTTGGAACCCTCCACCAACATGCCCTGGTTCAAGGGATGGAAGGTTGAGCGCAAGGAGGGCAACGCCGATGGCAAGACCCTCATCGATGCTCTGGACGCCATCCTGCCCCCTAGCCGTCCCACCGAGAAGCCCCTGCGTCTGCCCCTGCAGGATGTGTACAAAATCGGCGGTATTGGAACAGTACCCGTCGGTCGTGTGGAGACTGGTGTGCTGAAGCCCGGATGCGTCGTCGTCTTCGCCCCGGCTAACATCACCACTGAGGTCAAGTCCGTGGAAATGCACCACGAAGCTTTGACTGAGGCCGTTCCCGGAGACAACGTTGGTTTCAACGTTAAGAACGTGTCCGTTAAGGAGCTGCGTCGTGGCTACGTCGCTGGTGACTCCAAGGCCAGCCCCCCCAAGGGAGCCGCCGACTTCACCGCTCAGGTCATCGTGCTGAACCACCCTGGCCAGATCGCTAACGGCTACACCCCCGTGCTGGATTGCCACACCGCTCACATTGCTTGCAAGTTCGCTGAGATCAAGGAGAAGGTCGACCGTCGTTCCGGCAAGACCACTGAGGAGAACCCCAAGTTCATCAAGTCTGGTGATGCTGCCATCGTCAACCTGGTGCCCTCCAAGCCTCTGTGCGTGGAGTCCTTCCAGGAGTTCCCCCCTCTGGGTCGTTTCGCCGTCCGTGACATGAGGCAGACCGTTGCTGTCGGTGTCATCAAGGCTGTTAACTTCAAGGATGCTTCCGGTGGCAAGGTCACCAAGGCCGCCGAGAAGGCCACCAAGGGCAAGAAGTAGCAGGTTTGCTTCAACTCTAAACCAACAACAACAACTATTAGCAGCAGCAAGCATATATTCAACATCCTAATGCAGCCACCAACACCACTCAGTAATACCAGCAACAGCAGCAGCAGCAAGCACAACAGTAGTCCAACAGCAAAACCACCACCTGTCCTGCGCAAGATGACCGATAAGATGATGTTCCAGCAAAAGCAAAAGTTTAATTTCTTCCATCGAAAGGAGTTTCGTCGGATACGAATGTTAAATGCAGTCGAGGCCGCCTAAACCTGGCGGTGGATCGGGATGAGTGCGACTCTACACTGAAGGAAAAGAAGAAGAAAAACACATGCAGACACTGCATCCATCCACTCCTCCATTTCCCCCGTCAATCTTTAGTTTACTACACATATGATATGATAACAAGTTGACTTCATTATGGTATCATATATAGATATCTTATTATCGAGTAGCGAACGCGAGTAGCATTTATATCGTTTAATTAACCTTTTTATTTTGATATGTATCATTTATCTTACCCTATTTTGCACACACTACTTTGTACACATGAAATTTGAACCAGAATAGAAGCGATAACTTTATTTACAAAAAATAAAACCCCCTACTTTTGTATTTATTTCGTTTTTGACAACTCTCTCATTCCATTGCCCATTGCACCAATCCATCTTTTTGGTTTGTTGCTTTCTTTTGGTTTTCAGCGCTTGATCAGTCACGACCACCCCTCCGCCCATGGAATGCAATTACAACACTGAGACGCACCTTATCGAACCGATGCCACTAAGTACAAACAATACTATTTGAAGAGTACAAGAATAAACCAGACAACAAATAATACCTCAATCGTTGAAATAAAGCGAGCATTTGCATTTGAAATATATTCTTTGTATTATTGGGGATGGTACTTGATAGTAAAATAAAAGTATTAACTAATTAGGTAAAATCATTATCATTATTTGTAAATATTGAAAATCTTAAAAGTAAATCAGTCAAGTTCCAGCTCTGTTTAACAAATATATTTACACAAGAATTGAAAAGATTTAATTGAAAAGTTTCAAGAAATATATATATAATTTACGATTTGTACGCTAAAAAGAAAACTCCTAAACAGAGTAAAAACGTGGATATTAGTTGGATTACAGATCTACTTGTCCATCACCAATGGTGGATCGACGAAATCATGACATCTTCGTGGCTGCGTCATCAGATCTGGCTTGGGGTCTTCATACCGTATGCCTGCTGGTGTTATAATTGCGCTTTTCATCAGGTATTTGCCGAATCTCTGAATCTGCATATTGGTGATGCTGTCCAGCACCCAGTAGGGCGACAAGTATATCCGTTCATCCTCGGCGCGCCGCTTGTCGCCAATAATGTACTTCGCCTTGAAGCGGTTTTCAGTCAGTTTGCCTCCGCCCAGCAGCAACAGCTCCTTCATGTTGTTGAACTGTATCGGCTGGCAAAGCGAGGACACATAGAAGGGTTCCATAAAGCGGAACAGCTCACACTGGTAGTGAACCCCAAAGGCCTGGCGCTCTGTCCTGCAAATCTGGACCAAAAATGTGTTGGGCATTAAATTATTTTTATAAGAAAAAAACTTACCTCAATGGCTCGCGAAAATCTGGTGAGTTCATATGGCTCTTCGTTGACCCACTTGCCGGCCCGCATTGACGCCAACACCCACTGGTAGTTGACGATCCAGACGCCACGCATTAGGCCACGCAGCAGGTTCAAGGTGCGACGCGGCTCCAGGCTAACCAGGTGGGTGGTACGCTGAGTTACAGTGGGATCCAGACGCATGCCACGCAATTTGCGCAGAGCCTGGGATTGGGTGGGTTTTGATTAGGATTCATGGCCGCCTGGCATATGGTTTATTCAATAGTGTGTATGGGTTTTGGAGGATTCGAATATACAAACTGGGGGCTTCTACAATTCTACCAAGTGTTGTTTATGCTTAATCAATAATTAATATGGACTATTAGCGAATCGTGAATATTCAAATCTCAGTGATTTTTACAAAACAGTATTGGGGCACTAACTAATCTATAATTAGGCTACGAAAGTTGTGGGAGTAGATGTCTGGTCACTGTGCACGGTTACCAACCTTGTGGATGACCTGGATCTGCTCTTGATGCATATTAGTGTGAACCAGAGTGCGGATACGCGACCGTTTGGCCTTATGCTGGACACTTCCATCTGCAGTTACCGTCGATGTAGCATTTGCATCCACTGGCAGTTCGGCATCGACAAAGCTTTCGGTAGTGGATTCATTGGCCGATTCTCCCTTATTTTCGTTGTTTGATGTAATGGCTGCTACGTTCAGACTTGAAGTGGTGCTTGGCGGCATTGCCAACGAACGGCGCCGTTTCTGGACTGATCCCGTCGAACCTGTAATACTAAGCCGACTCTTCTTATTCGACATCTGTGGGGTTACGACAACCTCGTCATTAGGATTGAATAGAAGACGCCTCTTGGGCTCTCTCGGTGTTGATTCCTCTGGCTGAGACGGAACTGGCTCTCGTAGCTGGGGGCGGCACTCACCCAACTCAGCTTCACTGGCCATAGCCATTGACATGCGGTGTGATGTGTTGATCCGTTCTATGCTTTCATTGATTACATCCATGTCCATGTTGAAGATAGTGCGCCTGCGATTTCCAGTCGACTTGGTGTTTGGCAAACGAGTCGAGCTGAACAGAGGGGTTACGGGTTCTTCCACTATGAAGCTGGATGTCTGCGTTGTCACAGAGTTAAGTGAAGGCCTGACTTCTGGCACGATTACATCCCTTAGCTCGGAGCTGGACGTAGCCACGTTGAGGCGTCGAGGACATGTAATATCCATCAATTCCGATGTGTGTAGTGTACCACGTCTATCTACTTTGTGGGTGGCCCCAGATTGGACCGCGCTTATGTCTAACGATTGCTCCAAGTAATCCGTTCTGTTGGGAATTTGAATCTTCTCCATAACAACTGAGTTTCTGTTTTGCTCCTCGGGAGCCAGCTCCTCGGAAATAGTTTCAATGGTTTGATGGGGCACAGCATCCTCGGGAAGTTTTCCAGCCAAATGTAAAGAGCTTCTCCGACGAGTCATTCTTGGCTCGATCACAGGAGCAGGTGTCTCAACTGAAGCGTTATTCGAATTAATATGAAGCGAGCTTCGTCGTCTGGTCATTCTAGGTTCTTGACTGCTAATCTCCGCTGCACAACTGCGACGACGACTAGTGCGAGTTGGCGGCGTCGATTTGGAAGGTTCAACTGTGCTACGTCGTGGGCGCGGAGCGCTTAAAGGCGGAGCCGTACTTTCGCCTGTAGCATGTATGAAGGTCAACTTCGTTTGGGTGTCCATATGTTCGACCACTGCAGCATCTCCACTGCCATTGATTCCCTTCGAATTGCGTGGCGTGGTTCCAGCGGCAGATATCGGAGTGTAACAGCCACTGCTTATCCTGCGAATATTTTTTGGTTTAATAGGGATTTATAATATTTTAAAATTACATTTAACCTGTTGAGAAGATTCGTGGCTGGCGATTCAACAGTATCTTCAACCTGTTTGGCTTTGTTCAAGGCTCTGAAGAAGCGACTGATGTCATTCTAAAAGGACAATATTACAAGATTTTTAAGATTAGTATGTAAGTGAATTTTTTAAATTCTTACCTTTGGTGTTGAGGTCGGAGTGCTTTGCAGGTTACTGGGCTTAGCTGGCTCATTGTCCTTTGAGGATGTGGGTGTGCCCTTTTGCTTGCGAGGTCGTTTGCTCAGTTCCGAGTCCGGTTGCATGCAACGCACGCGCTGAAAATAAAGTTTCAGAGATCTCATAAACAAATCCTGTCCTGGACCGACTTATTTTTACGAATTACGAGTGGGAGCTCATGCCCTTTGGTGTTATTGTTGGTGCTGCGGATGCTGCCGACTTTTTGCCCGCTCTGTCAGTCATGTTGACTAGAAAACACTGTTTTATTTGTTTATAACTACGTGATATCTGGCCCGTTGTTTAAATAAAAACGTACTTATCTCTGATTAACCATGGGTGGCGATATGGAGAAGTAATCGATAGCTGTTGGCTAAAAAACACTCCCAATCAAATTAACCAAAGAGAACCTGCCCGTCATATTATGTTCTTAAAAGAACAAAAGACATATTTTTCTCTGCTGAATATAGAAGAATTCAAATGTGGCGCCTTAAAATAAATCAAACTCAAACTCCCATCACTAAAAGTCCCCAACTATCGATAGGCCCCAACGATAGTAAGAACGATAGCAGGGAAACGGCTATAAAAATTGCTTTATGAGAGACTGTCAGCCCAGTCAACGGCTCATTCATCACTTTTCGCCGCGCTCTAGTAGATCTTTTAGCAACTTTAAGAAACCGACCAGTATTACGCGCTATCCCAAAAATTCTTGTTATTCCCCAAAGACATTCTTATCATTTCCTAAAAGCGCCAACGCAATAAGCAACAAGTGTTCCGGAATCAACATAAAAGACAGACCGGGACAGCCCAAAACAAAGCTTCACCATTGAAAGCAGCTTTGTTTACAGTACCGTACCTTTCCGTACGAATCTCGGCTCAAGAACGTGGCACATTTCAGTGAGCATCTGGTGGCGCAGCAAAGTAAACAATCAACAGACATCAGACACCGGACACTGGGCCGGAGAAACAATTAATAAACTTGTTTTCCGCTGCACTGCTGTGATAGCACGCGAATAAATCCCAAGGCCGATACCAGCCGGAGACGAGCACGGAGCTGCAAGATGATTCCCGGCTATGGACCAGTAACACAGGCCCTATTGGGCACCCTGCTCACTTGGGGCCTGACGGCCGCTGGCGCCGCCCTGGTGATCTTCGTCCGTGGCAACCAGCGGAGGTCACTGGACGCCGCCTTGGGATTTGCAGCGGGCGTGATGATTGCGGCCTCGTTCTGGTCGCTTCTCAAGCCAGCTATTGAAATGGCTGAGGGCTCGCACTTGTACGGCGTCTACGCCTTCCTGCCTGTGGCTGGCGGCTTCCTCCTGGGATCCATTTTCGTCTATGGCTGCGACAAACTAATGTCATACCTGGGTCTCAACAGCACAAACATGATGATTCAGATGACGCAGACCAGCAAGGACAAGGCGGAGATTGCTATCGATGACTTAAAGAAGAATGGAGCCAGCGACAGGTTGGCCTCGAAGAGCCTGGACAGCTTCTCCGACTGCCTGAGCGTGCAGCACAGTGGCGAGTCGCGCCGCAGGAAGAAGGGAAGCATCAACGAGGTGGAGCAATGTACCTATACCACCGTTGAGGAGCAGCGGGCCGCCCAGGAAGCCCTGTCGCAGTGGAAGCGCATCATGCTTCTGGTGGTGGCTATCACAGTGCACAACATTCCCGAAGGATTGGCTGTGGGTGTTAGCTTTGGAGCTATTGGAACCACAAACTCTTCCACGTTCGAGAGCGCCCGCAACCTGGCCATTGGCATTGGCATCCAAAATTTCCCAGAGGGTTTAGCCGTCAGCTTGCCACTTCACGCCGCTGGCTTCAGTGTGATGAGAGCTCTATGGTATGGACAACTGTCTGGAATGGTGGAACCTATTTTTGGTGTACTTGGAGCAGTGGCTGTAACCTTTGCCAACCTGATCTTGCCTTATGCCTTGTCGTTTGCGGCCGGAGCCATGATCTACATTGTGTCGGACGACATTCTGCCGGAGGCACATGCCAGCGGCAATGGAACCATCGCCACATGGGGCACGGTCTCTGGATTCCTGATAATGATGTGCCTGGAGGTGGCGCTGTCGTGAGGCTTCAGCTGTGTCCAATGCAACAGCCACCATTCGAAACACTAGTGCAAAGCAAGGATTCCACTGTACTTAACGCTTGTAAATAGAAGCAGGCATTGTACAAATCTCAGAACTAGAAGCCTCTTCGAGAATCTAATAATTTAACGTAGATTGTAAGCTCTTTTAGAAAGAATACTGATGTGGTGGCATCTGTGCAATTGTTATGTATCTGTGGACTTGGCTAGCGAGTTATGTAAATGACGAGCAGAACGATTTGTGTTCTGGAGACCATTGTAAACAAACGTGCATGTGAATTAGGTTTTAAGTTGTCACCAGAGTCCAGGGCGTCTTTTTAAACTGTCTAATGTTTAAGCAATAAACGAAGCGCATTCAAATGAGCATCTAACTAGTACTTGGTTTTGCTTTTTGTCGGACAACTTCCTCGGCTCCAGCCCTACGAAAACTGATAAGAGAACAAATTGAGTTAGATAACCCGGAGCGGCGACAACAGCCACAGCAAACTAGTTGACTTTGTGTCAGCTGGTGATAAGAATCTGTCCAGCGCAAAGAGTTGGTTCCCAATATTGCGCGTATTCCGTGTTTGAGATACGTGCAATTTCAGACGGCCCACAGCCCTGAGTTTCGTCCATTGAGTTGGCTTGCCATTTTCTGGATTAACTAATCACTTCAGATATGTACCCACAAGTACCAGTAGAAGTGCTCGATAAGGCAACAGCGGCTATCTATTGAATTTCCATACCTGTGTACTTTTAAGTTTTTTATTTCCCCCCATAAAGTAATAAACATTTGAGCTTTCAATGACCTATTAGTTGGGGGTATATCTCGAGTGGGATTAATGCTTCTGTGCTAGCCGAGTCATAAATTGATAGTAACATCGGTCATTAAAGGTTTTATACTTTTTGTTTACTTTACCATTTGAATGGAAAAAGTACTAGACACTTGTTAATTCAAGCGTGTATCTCAAGTGGAGTTGCGCCGCAATCGAGAACTTGATAACTTTAGGGAACACATTCATTAAAGGTTCGCTTCTTTTAAACTGGGACGACCAAAAAGAGTTGTGACTGGAGAATCTGATAAGTGTGATTGGGTAGAATACCTTTGCATTCCCGTATAACCGTATCAACTCTCGGTGCTCGGTAGACAGGTTGATAAGCAGTGCTCAAAAATAGAAACCCGATTGAGGGTTTTCTCCCGCCAACCACAAGCATTTGTCACTTACCGGTATTTTGCCGAACAGCTCTGGATACTCGTACATGCGCATGTTGCTGATGGGAAACATCAGGGGGTCACACAACTTGCGCTGCACCTTGCATGCTTCAATCCACAGAATCGATACGACTGGTATGTTCCACTCGGTCGCTTTTTTGTACGTCGAGAGAAGACCATCTTTGAAGACTACATGGGTGGTGTTGCTGTAAAATGCATTATTTTGTTTTGTTGAAATTTCCAATCTATTGAAAGAAGAAATCTGTACTTACCGTGTGAGACGGTCGTTTATTTGAGCTCCCATCTTGCCAATGATTGTCTTGACACCCTCTGAACGATTATCGTTGCCAGTGCGTACTTCTACATAGACTATCACATCCTTGAGCAGCTCCGTTAAAGTGGGTGGTTCCTTTGGATTACGATCTTCCTCTGTGATGATGCTCTGCTCGGTGTGCGAAACATCAAAGTGGTTGTATGCACTTTTCGTGGGACTCCTACAACAAATGGCAATGCATTTCGTTAAATCTTTGTTGTAAGAAAAGAAAAAAAGCCTTACTTCAATGCCCTTATGGCACGCAGGCGCAGTGCTGCATTGGGACTGTTGAGATCTTCTTGGAGGCGGGCCCAATGCCGATCTTGTCTGGTGGGTGTGGATAAGCTAGCAGGTGGCTCTGGTTGTTTAGACTCTTGCACCGTTGCTTGGGACTCAGAACGATGCTGTTCTATGGCCTTGGCCACGGCCAACTGGATGGTCTGGATGCCGTCCGGCTGCTGCAGCTTCTGGCGTTCCTTGCTTAGCAGGGTATCTATCCAGGAAGAACGTATTTTATTAGCGATGTTTGGGTCACTTTTCCACATGGCGATGTGATCTATTTTATTGTTATAACTCTGATACTACAAATTTTGTTAGCTACGCATCCGAAATTAAAAGTACTGAATTGTTAGATATCCATAAAAGTAATGCAAAGCCAACCTGCCGTCCCCTGGGAGAGAGACTTTGGAGGCAACTTGTGCGGCAAAAAGTTTGAATCTGCCTGCTCTTGCAACGGCTTTCGAGCGGGGGACGCCTGGGACTTTGACACGGGTCCGACCAGCGGCTTCTTCTTCGCGGCGGTAGCCACGGCTGCTTCGTATGTTTTCGTTTTCCACGTGGGGTTTCGCTGGAGAAACTTGTCCATTCTTCCACAAAGGCAGCCTCAATATTGCACAGCAAATATGATAAAAACAGAAAAGAAAATTCGCGCCAATGAAAAACCAAAAACCAAACCTAAAAATAATTTTGCTTGTTTTTAATATCGATAGCAACAGTTTCGATAACAAAAATTATTCAATCGATATTTACCATAAACACATCGATCGAGCCAATCGATTTTTTAGATGCCGGCGTTGCCAGAATATTTGATAGTGGCGCGGAAAGGCACATTAATTCAAATGTAACTTAATTCAAACTTGGTTCAAAGTAAAAGAAAAACGCACATTTATAATTTTATATCTTTCTTTTAATGCATACTTAATCGTTTACATATTTTATTCGAACTTATTTACATATGAAATGTATGTACAGCAAATAATAAGAAAAAAACAATAAATTGAACTCGCCTAAAGTAGCAATTGATTTGCTTATGACATTTTCTGCCCCCATTATCGACTCTCCTCGTTATTTAATCCAGTGTGCTCTATACTTGGGCTCTAGGACATTCTCTCAGTCTTAAACGATTTAAAAAACTATGGCAAAATTTTAATTACTCATTACAAATTGCATAATCATTAAATCTCTCTGGTTGTCTTAAAATAAACTGCGGTTAATTAAAGTTAGTGCGTATTAAGTAGTGGGTATACGCTAAATGGCTGCATTTCGCTGCATTTATCACAAAACTGAGCGAAATGCACTCCACATGATTCACTGATCCATGGATCCTCTGACCAAAACTAAATCGTATGCGTTTGACTAAATAATTGTAGAATTAATGCTAGACATTGAATAAATTAGGGCCAGCTGGTTGATCATTCTGTAATTAAAATAAAATAAACATTATTGTTCGACATTAAAATTTAGATAAAATATCTTACCATGTGCACTGATCAGACTACGTGCATCCCAGAGGGACATCTGCGATTGGGAGAGACGATGCTGGGGAGGATAGAGCTTGTAGGGGAAGTAAGAGTGATGGAAGGTGGCGATGGGAATTGGCTGGGCCGGCAGGAATTCCTTCTGGTGATGCTGAGCCGAGATCTTCCTCGAGATCTTCGGCTCCTTCTTGGGCTTGCTGGCGCCAGTGCCGTTGCAAGGCTGTTTCGAGGACTTGATGAAATTGGGAATCCTGGCCAGCAGGCCACAATAATAAGGATCATCCTGCTTTTTACGTTGCTGCGTGGTGCTGCTCTTTTGGCGCTTTTTGTCAGCATAGATGGGAGCCAATGATCCGGATTCATAGTCAGGCTAGAATTAAATAATAAAACAGAATGTTAATTAACTTTACTAAACATTGCGGAATGTACAACACCCACCTTGGGCACATAGGGTCCTTCGTTAAGGAAGGCAGCACTGAAGATGCTACGCCTTCCCTTGCTAGAGTTGCTTGAATTCTGGGAGTTCTGCGAGTCATCGGAAGCCGCTGGTGTCGGATAGATGAGTCCCACCTGGCTCTCGATTGTGGAATACGGATCCTCGCTGCTCTGCGTCAATGGCACTCGCATTCCCAGAGCATCCAACGACTTGGGCATAGTCTGTAGCCTGCTCCTCAGCATATCCATGGCCACCACATTGACCACGAGTATCCAGACCGGAGAATTGATTAGATTGTTATTTGACTTGACCAGGGAAACGGCGGAGAGGCACTGGCGCTCCAACCGCCCACGCTCCGGATATGTGCGGGCGAATTCCCGGTTAATATTCGTCTGAAACTTTTTCATGTCGAACAGCTTAGCCGACGTGCCGCCGGTGAGGGACATTTGGGGCATCTGTATTATATCTCCACCGATCACAGTCTCCTCATTACCCTGTGATGTGCTGTTCACATAGATGCTGCTCTTGCCGTAACGTTTAATGAATATATTGCCGATGTCGTCCATTTTGATTTTGAAGCCGTCTCCAATGGATTTTTTGATCACCTTCGTTTCGGCATCGCGCATAGGATTCTCAAATCCATTCAGGCCAATGCTATAAGATTAGTTAGGTGTTCTTTAAAATAATTACATCTTTTTTAGGGACAAGTATATACACTTACCGCACTCCATCGAAGCCGTTCTTAGATCCATTTATGGTTATCACAGAGGAACGGGCATAGGCCTTGGCCACGCGTCGATTTTTCTCAAAGACAATAATCTTGGCCCAGATTTCGTCGTCGATCTGCTCCCACTTGGCCAGAACCTCATTAATGTGATCCTGCGGATGTTTATATTTAGCATAAGATCACATATCATCATAAATTATATAAATCTTACCCTGAAGAGCTTCTCGCGATCTTGCCAGACATCTTCCTCTTGCTCGTCTTGCCCTATGGCATCCAAATTGTCCAGGGAACGCGATATGATCTTGCGGCGCGAAATCATCTTGTCTGTCTGCTCGATTGATTCGTTTCCTCTGGAACTGGAGAGACAGAACATTTTCCGAAATTATTATTAAGTAATTATGAGCAACGCTCCTAGTTATGGACAATTAACTTGGGGTTCGTTCTAACATAGCGGGTGCGAATGACTTTGATTGGATCTCGTAGACCAAATTGAATCTCCCGGCGAATGGGACACGCACTGAAGAGATTATTAGGCAATCAGTTCAATCAATCTGCAAGCCAATGAACTCTGCACACGAACGGAACAATCCGAGTGTTTTTTTAGGGTTTTTGGGAATTAAATATATTTGTGTGTGTAATCCCATGGAGTAAAGTATTCCTTTGATCGATCGAATCACCAATGTCACCGCCTCTAATTGAACCAAACGCTTGATACCTTGTACAATTGTATTCTGTTAAACACTTTGTTGAGCACATTATTTTGCATTTTTTTTGTACATCGGGTCAGAGCAACTTGCCTGGCATTTCAATCGGCCACTTGGGGTTTTTCTTCAAAGTCAAACTGATTTGATTATGCACCGAACTACCGCCAACCGTCAACGTTTTGTGACAAAATCCAGTATACGGTGGCCAATAGTAGCAGTCGCTGTCAGGTGGATTGGCGGTCAGACACGTGATTGGCATTAATTGTGGGCCAAATGCGATTTACCAATAAATGTGTGTCACACACTTTGTCGAGTGGCAATGAAAGTGAGTCTGCTGGGATTCCGCTTGCCCATCAAACTTTATCGATGACTTCCCATTCCTATTCCCATCTAAGCGTTTCTTGTTCCACCCACCCCACCATTAAAAATGCGACATTTCTAAGCGTGGTCAAATTAAGGGCACGACACTACATGCATTTTTGAATGCAATCCCTGATCCGTGGCCTAATTTAAATGTTTTCCAAATTACCCAGAACGACCGCAGTGAGTGAGTTTCCCGTCGAGCATTTCAAATCGGAGATCCCATGGATGGATCTCCATTGAAGCCGCCGACTTTCTATTCGTTTGGTTTCGACGGCGTTGGCGTTGGTTCTTTAATTAACGGACAGAATGGCCATAAAACTTGATAAATGTCACGCACTTCTCTGTCTCCAAAAAACTCCGTGCCTCTAGATCCGTTTTGGCCACGGCGAAATTTCAACATATAACTGGTTTTCTTTTCTATATACTCCTTATATTTCGCAAAAGTAAAGATTTATGGCGAATAATATTCTGTAAGCTCAAGTAGACACGCCCACGAGCTAAAAGCTTTGACACTATTTTCGGACTATTGGGTCCACGGGAGATCGAATTCGTTATTGTTCTAGATTGGGATTTTTGAGGAGGAACATCTATCCCTTACAAAAATCAGGGTGCTGTAAGTTTAATAGATTTAATTAAATTTTTTTTTATGCCCAATCACCTCCAGAGTTCTTGGGAATAGGTTAACATTTTCGCGATTAGAATGTGCACACATGTCGACGGTTTCATTCATGAGTCAGTGGCCCTGCTGATCTGAAGCCATGTCGTTAATGATGGTCAAATATATCATTTGCCAAGCCACGATTTGACCTCTTCTCGTCTCAGAGCCAAAAGCCCAAAAGCAACATTCAGTTCTGTCTGTTTCATCTTCTATTTTAGAGCGATATGATTAAGTTTTGGGGTTCCTACGTCAATGGGGCGAAATGCCAAGCAGCGATGTCGATTCCTACTTTTTTTCGTGTTTTGTTCTTTTGACTGACTGACTGTTTTATATTGTATAATATATTCGCATAACATTTCGTTCTTTTCACCATCGCCGCCGGAGAGGTTTCGGGTTTTTGTTGGTGGATCATTTTTTGTGCTGTTTCTGTTGCTGTTGCTGTTGCTGTTGCCTGGCTAATAAGTATATAAAATCTTTTTGAATGCCGAACGTGATGTTGATTTTTTGGCGATGATCGCATTGGACAACAACAAGAACCATACTTCTATACATGTGTATGTATGTTAGTATGAAATTTAATTATCTAGCTGGCCTTTGGTTGTGAAAAGTTTAAAATGCATTTAATAATTAAATCTTCTTACATGGCCAAAATGATTTATCTTGTTTACTGATTTATTCATTCCCAGTTTTGTTTGCTTCTTTGGCTTTTGCTCTCTTCTCATTTATTTTTGCTGTTAAGTGCGAAACTAGTTTAGGATAAACATAGCGGCTACTTGAAAAGATTAATGCCCTTTAAGTGCATCAAGTGCTAATCGATCCTCGCTACGAGTCAAGTTCGTGTCTTAAGTCTTTCCCTTGCCCTCGTCAAGTTCGTGCCTTGAGTCTTTCGATTTAGCACATTTTCCGCATACCAAGTCTCCGGCTCGAAACCCGATTGCAATTAATTATGTAAGCCCTCAAGGTCGCTGCTATTTTTAGCAACGCGGCAACTGTTCTGTGCGTGAGTACGCAGTTTATTCAATTTATAGAACGTCGTACCAGTTACGCCAAGGCCGTGGCGCAGAAGGAAGTCTCTTTCAGCTGCTGGCTCCTTTGTCCGATGGCTAATCGGCTTAGTCGCCGTTTAATTGGTGGCTACCATGAATCATGCTGGGCACTGCAATTGCGCAATTGGCATGTGCCATGTACCCATGTACACTATATACTAGGCCATACCCGCTCGCGGGCCTTTCAAATGGCGCGTGGAATGACTTGTCATCTAGCGAGACCCCCACACCCAAATGTGGTCCACAGACACCCAGCGAACATGAACTGCAACCGAGTTTTGAGTTTTCAGCTGGAGTGCTGCTGGTTGGTACTGTTTCAGTTTCGGTTTCTGCAAGTTCTTGACGCCACACCAACCTTGAAAGTTGAACCGCACCGAACCGAGTTCGCATACTTGCCCCATGCGTTTACATGTCCGGCTGGAACAAGTTTCGTGTACTTATTCGACGGGGGCTTTTATTCACCAAAATTTATCATCAAGAGTAATATTTTTGCTCTTACTTTCGGTGCTTGGATTTGACGCTATAAAACCGTACAACAATCGAGGTAATTTAATACAGACAGCCCACCAAATTATGACGGCCGGGTATTAACACTTAATTGCTTCGTGGGAGCACTCAGAGCCCAATCAAAATTGAAACATTTTAATTTTAAATTTCTTTTCAACTGCCACCGCCCAATCCGATGCAACAAAAAGGAAAAAGATTGTGATTTAATGGCATAATGATTAAAATACAAAACAAACATAAAATGCAAAAAGACAACAAAAAATCATATAAATTGTTTGCACAATGTCGCGGGCGGGTGGCTGTGCACTTGTTACTTTTTGTAACAACGCAACAAAAGTCAGTCAACAAACAACACCATTAACAACAAAAACAACAGTGCCATCTGGGGCTTACATTATTATGAGTTGGCACTTTATTTCGTCTCCATGTGAGCAAGGCGACAAAAACAAAAATAAATTAAAGAAAAAACGAGAAGCAAGACGAGAAAATGAAAATTAAATCGCATATTGTTACTGAAGAAGATGGCTATGATGATGATGAAAAAATATATGGGGGGCACGCAACATGCAAGAAAATCCCAGTGAGGAACTCACGGATGAAAAATTTAGATTGGACGAGACGCTGGGCACGTGTGAATGTCATAATAGATGGAAGCTCTCCATAGTAGAGATATCTAGGCTACTATTTGGAGCTACTATATATTTTGGACTTTATTTATGGGTTTTCGAACTTTTCAACTCAAAACTAATTGCTTCCATTAAACGTTTAAATATTACCGATATTGTATCGGTTATCTTGAAATAGTTTGTTTTCCTATTTAACATTTGATGTGATATGTATGCAAATTTTGGGACTGATATATATTTGCTGCCCACTTTCATCTGATACACTAATTGGCGCAAGAAAAGAAATATATTTCGCTCAAGTATCTTTTTATCTGTCGCAGGTTTCTTTCAAGTTTTTCTATGAATCCCTTTCAGAATCTTTAATAAGTCAGAGCCAAGCTCTTTTAGATCAGATTCTTTTGGCCCATTTATTAAAATTTATAACTGGAAAGTTAGGGCATTGGGGCTTCATCATTGTCTTCGTTTGCCCATCTGCTCCAATTCTTGTTTGGAGCAACACCCCACGGAGCTTGGCTTTCATCTTTTTTGGTTTTTTGCTCATTTTTTTTTGTGGGGCGAGCAGAAGGCGCGTTGAGAGTTTTGAACTGGGTACAATGCGGCGTATGCGCAATGTCTGCTCTGTCACTCGATGTGCATGTCAAGCTGATTGCATCACAGCAGCAGCAGCGGCAGCAACATCAACATCATCAGCTGCACCAGAAGCACCAGCAAGAGGCAGCAACAGCAGCTGGCTTTGGGGCACAGTTTTTTTTTGCGGTTGGAAAATCGGCACACGAAAATTATAAATTCCGATTTTCACTTGCTTCGGCAGCGGCTTTCATAATATTTTCACTTATTTCTCTCCCATTGCATAGCTGAGAATTTGCAATTCTCACCAAAGTATTTCGTGCCAGGAAGGCGTCCAAATCCAACAAATAATAATAAAAGAAAAGACAACAAATAAATCCAAATGGTGAAAAATGTGTTGCACAGCACTTTCGTGTTGCTTTTGACTTCCGCTTTTGTTGTTGCTGTTAGCTATTGCTATCGAGTGATTATTATTACCCGAAACAGAAACAGAAACCGAAACCAACATTGTTTTTAATGTTCAAATTACTTGCAAAAAAATTCGGTTTTTTATTTGGCCAAGCACGTTTTGGGCCTTGGCTTGGCAGGTCTATTCTTAGGCCTTAACAAGTGCCACACACAAAAAATAGTTCTTGAGCACCTTTGAAAATATTCCCAAAGATAATATTAAGTGAACATGAAGATGACTTGGCTTGTCTTTTCTTTTTTTTTTTTTGGTTAATTAAATTTGACGCGTTATGTTCTCCCTGACAGTCGTTCGTTTCAATTAGTCATCGATTCGATTTGTTTATGCTAATTTTTTTGAAGCTTTTGGTCTCCCCCTCCACCCAATGCAATTGATAATTGGCAGTTGGCAGTTGGCATTTGTCCACAGCTTATGATTCATGTCATCCAGCCCCGAATTACATCATTGGAATCATAGAAAACTCTTCAAACTGATTTCTGCCAATCAAAGAGTTGGCGGCGAACGGCGGTAACTACAATGCATTCAATTCAATTAAAGAGCAGGAAAAGACTCGTAAGCACTTCAACAAAGGCCGATCGTATTTTTATTTTTTATTTCTCATAAACACACACATAAGCATTTTCCCCCTCTTAATTAGAGTTCATTAATTTTGGCTTCAAAATGTAATTGAAACTGATATTGAGACGTTGCTGGCACAATCAAATGCGTAATTAACAATTGCGTTGATAATTGGGTGTAAAATTCTAGCAAAGGCAGAAAAATAGCCGATCAATAACATCGATCAGTGGACATAATTCAGGGGCGAAATACTTAGGCCACAAGCCACTACCCAGTAGCCAGTAGCCAGATGGCTAGCTGGGTGGAGTTGTTAGAAAAACACAGTAAATAAATAAAATCTTGAATGTAGGCCATAGCTGTGACTCAAGTCGGACTGGCTGTCCTAATTAGGCTTTCATTTGGCATGCAAATAAGTCTTTTTTCTGTTTACACAGAACTCCAGAAGAGTGCCAGGGAATGGGGTATCATATACAACAAAGGCCGAAGAAAATACAAAACAAAAAAAACGGCGAATAGGCCAAAGACCCCCGGAAGATGTAGCGATATATTCTTAGATGAGTCCAAAATGACTTGAAGCGCGTTGCCGATTGCGAATCTTGGCTGTCTTCCTTGTTTTCACATTTTTATATATATTTATTTTTGGGGAATTTTTTTTGTATGCATTGAACGTTTCAGGCAAAGCCAGAGATTACATCGCTCATAAATTTTGGACAAGGCAAACCGAGAGGCTTTAATAAGCAAAGCCGAAGCTGAGATCTGCTGAGCGGAGCTGACATTTTTGGGTACATAAAAATATGAAATTATATTAATGTAAACGCTAATCTGCGTGTAAATTAAGCACACGCATATCGGACTCGAACGGGTTTTTCGAAAAACTCTAAAGTTAAAACCAGCCCAGGGCCAGTGAAGGTTGTTGAACAGTTTTCCATAAGCTGGCTATATTACTATATTGTAGCTGCACTGAGGCGGCATTTGGGTTTTGGTTTCTATTCCAACAAACACCAAAGAACCTTTTGTGCAGGCCAAACAAAAGACTCGAGCAACGAACTTGATTTTGTAATTTACATGCAAATACACATACCATACCGTATAGAAACGCAGAATAGGAGTACCTCATATGTATATTGTGCCATGTAGCATATACTACATACGAGTATATTGTATAAGTTTTTTATTTCACACTCATGGACAGCGTGTTTTAAGTGGCCTTTGGCGTTTAGCACATCCACACAACACACACCACAACCGCACTATAAAACCATGTTTATTTATAAGATGCCACAGAATGCTAATTAAATACTTGGCTTCTCGGCTAAAATCGCCAATCGTCTTGGCCAATTCAATTTTGCAGCCAGAGAAATGATTGTACAACACACAATTTAAGTGCCAATCAAACGATCTTCCCCGCTCGAGCGTGCATTCATTTCAATTAGCAGCGAATGACAAAATCAATTTTTCCAAATGTCAAGGTCGACCCGCGGATAACTTACCCTTCAAGCTGCTGTTTCTTTTTCTTCAAAGTGCAATGCGGCGTATGCGCAATGTTCGATACTAAAATATCCGTATGTTCTCCACTCGATGCTGGATTTATTCGTAAGTGTGAATCAGAATTCAACTTTAAACGCCCACCACAATCAATCAACCAGCTAGGTTTCTCCTCAATTATTTACTTTAATGTTTATTGTTTTTATTCCTTTTTTTTTTTTTTGATATTTTTAAAACTTTTTTTTTGTATTGTATGAGACGCGTAATTTGTCTTTTAATTTCTATTTACACAACACTCTCAGAACTCTGCGCTCGCGTCGCGATCCCGACTTCTACTGAGTCTCTGCTGTGGGTTAGTAGCTTTTAGCGTTTTGGTTAAAAGTGGTTAGACGGAGTGCAAGCGCGCGCAAGAACCGCTCGCCTCAAGCTGCGTGTTTCGACTGTTCGGCTAACGGTGAGTCTTGGAGTAAGGTAGCCCAAATTGTTGCCTCAAAATAACCCGACCACCTAGCCACAGCCGACGAGCCGAGCCGAAGCTGGTATATTGCTGGCAGCGTATGCGGCTAAAAGCACGAATTCCCAGGGGGATCTCCAGTATCACACTTCTCTCAATCCACGCAGACGCTCAGCGACTGCCAAACAGGAAGGTTGGGTTGAGATTCTATAGCTAAAGTTGATGCTAACAGAAAATTCTTTCCAAAAAAAAATTGGAAAACTTACAAATTGTTTCAAAATGTTAAGTTATTTATTTAAAGGCACTAATCTTTAAAATCGGTTGAATATTGGAAACAAATATATACGTACTTCTCAAGGGATGATATTTTTATAATTTATAATCTCCATAGACTTAAAAGTACATCTTCTAAAAACTTTTAAAAATATTCTCTAAAAAATATGTTTTTAATATTTTTATGCAGAGAATTATAAGAGAATTTGTATAAAAATCATTTAGAGTGTTCCGTTTATAAATAGAAGGCAAGTTGGCAAAAATACAACATTGAGGATTAGGAACCACCTATTTTGTCCAAAAACCCAACTCCAAAGCAATCAGCAGGCTTCTAGCCAAGAGAATTACCATTTTGTGTTTTGTTTTATTTATTTATTTGAGCGTGTGAATTACTTTTGATTTGGTTACCTCGCCGCTCCGGTTGCGGATGTGTCCGTAGGCCACTATCCCCCTGGGTATTTCCCTCGAGCAGCAAGCTTCTTTATTTGGCGTTGGTTTTTTGCTTTTTGATTAACTCGGCGAGCGACATAATTCAGTCTGAGAGATTTGTTCGTTTATGGCAGCTGGCTTATTTGGTGGCTAAGCATAAAATGCAATTTATTTATTTAAATTTTGAAACTGAAACGGAATAGAATGCAAGACCCCCTGTGAATCATGCGGTGAAAGAGGGTGTGGCAGGTCACTTAGCATAGAATGGACAGTTAAAACGGTTCCATCCATGGACTGTGATGGATTTCCCTTTCACAAGGCACAATTATCGGTTTGCCAAATTGGCGCTGAGCTAACACCGCTGGAATGCCCCTAGATCGGGCATTAGTCTTTAAATAGAACTCCTCGAGTGTCCGGCTGTCATAATCAATGTTCACGGCTATTCAATCACAAAACTGAAACGTATCGAAAGGCTGTATATTGTTGTGTGTGGCAATAATTGCCAAAGAATTCCATATGCCACTGAAGGGGGGCGGCTCCACTACTGACCATGTTGTAATTCAATATAATTTTTTTTTTTAGCCAGTTTTGTTTTTAGCCAGCGCCTTGTTACTGTTTTTGCTATTTCAATTAAAAGCCAACGCCAAGTGGCTGGTAAAAAAAAATGAAAAAGCCAATGGCAACAGCTATAGTTTTGGTTAAATACACACAGAAAAATAAAGCCTTTGTTTGTATTTTATTAGAGGGCTTTTAACCCTCAAGCAATAAACCAAAAACTATTTCTCTCTGTGCATTTTTAAGGTGAAGGGGAAGGGAGAGTCTCCGGCATGGTGGAGCATGCCAAGCAGGTCGCTGTTTTAATAATCATTACAAATTGCTTTTGGCGTCGCAGACCAACGAACGACCTTGCTACATTAAAAACGGAAAATAAAACAAAAAAAAAAAAACCGTTTCGCAGCCAGCAAGTGGGAGAAAATGGCTAAGCTAACATTTTTGTTACTGTTTTTATTTTCGGGTAGTAGCAAGTGGAAGGTAAATATTTTTTTTGTTGGCTCTTGGATGTGAATTAAGAAATTACCAGCTACTCGAAATTTGCTAATTGAATTCAAGGCTGGGATTTCGCTACCAATTCTGTCTTTCGGCTACAGTCATACGAATAACATTTAAGCCGAGTTTAAACTGTGTTTTATGCTCAATTATTTTGGCTGCTCATCGCGCTAAAATAACAATAATATTAACAATAATAATAATGAATTGTTTGGCCCGATGTTTTCTTGGGGCGCCTTTGTTTTAGCCATGTTGTACAAACAATTTCCGCATGGCTCAGAAATACAGAGGAACAAAACCATTGCCGAAAAACCATTGTAGTTGATCGTGTTGTTTGTTTTGGCTTCTTGGTGCGATTTAAATCGCAATCGTTAATTCGTGCTGACATACAAGAAGGGGAAACAAACAGAGTTTGGCTAAAAATAATGGCAAAGGAGAGTCGATCAAGAATTTTTGATCTGGCTAGTCTCAAGTGATTTGCCGACATTTTTGCGTAGGCTGACGGCAGTCAACGTGGCGTATGATTGATAAGCAAATTGTTCTCTCCCTTCCCCATCAAGTATACGTCATGGTGGCCGCCCTATTTTTGGCACCCAATCGATAGTTGGATCGATCGATCAAGGAAAGTCCTTCACAGAACGGAACTATGATTCAGCAATCAGACCGTCAGCAATGGCTGCTGTGACGTAACTCGAATTAAAGCTAAATCATAAACTTGATACACCAAAAAGCCGAGCAACAGCAAGGTGTCAACGACACCAGAAACAAAGGTCGTGGCTTCTGGCAACCTTCAGACTGTAATTTCACAAGATTGTGACTGTTTTTGGTTTTTTGGCATGCAGGAGACGCAGTGCAATTTAAGAGCTTTTTAACGTTCCACGAACACCCAAGCATGCAGATACTATACGTTTGGCTTCCCAATCAACACCAAAAACCGAAAAACTTAACAAAATTAAAATCAAAATCAAATCATTGGTGGCAGTTTGGTGGGAAAAGGTTTTGCTTTTGGGCGTGTTAATTGAAGCACCATTGCCAGTTTCCGCATACGCAACCTTGAGGCCTGGGAAACTGCCATTTGACCACTTGATGTAAGCCAATTTTCGGTTATAATTTGCCACTCAAACCGTTTTTGAGGCGTTAACAATTATGTTAAGAACATGTCGGCGATGACGCGGCTCGAATCTGAATCCGAAAGTCTATGGAAAGAGCTGCCCCTGAGTGTGGCCAATTTTAAGCTAATTGCCAAAGCGGTAATAGGTTTCAAATACATAGAGGTTATAACTGAGAACTAGAAGAATAGTATTTAAGGGAAAAACTAGCTTGAATATTTTAGGAGTGAGATGGCCAAGCAAGTCTTATAAGCCAGCCTTGGCTTGGTCAGATGACTCAGAAGAAGACTCTTTTCAGATGTCAACAAGCTAAAATGCTGAAATACGATGGCTATCGGCGGGCCCTCGAATCGAGGGGCATATTCAGATTTAGACTCCGATTCGGATTCAGCTAGTTGGCTTGTTCGATGATATCAGAAACATGCGCCACGCTCTGACAACAGGCATTCATTTCACACGCTGCAACGTGCCGAGAGGTGCAGCTACAGAAATAAAACTCGCATCCGTATCTGCCTCTGAGTTGGGGCTTCAGTATCTGCCGCAGCATCGGCAACACGCTGACTTGCAACACGGCCAACAAGGTGTAATTAACTGCCAGCCCAGGCCAGGCCGGGCCGGCATTAGAAGCCAAACACACCGCACAAGTGGCACAATTCTTTTCACTTTTACTTGCCATTAGAAAATAGTCAACCGAAGACTAGAACTCCAGTTCTGAAGGCACGACAACCCAGAGAGTAATTGCAGACATTATTCATGGCTCAAGGCCATGTTGTAGCAAATGAATTTCGTTTTCAGCACCTCGGCAGCTCGGCACTCAAAGGATGGGTATGGTATGGAATGGGTTCCCCCAAAGACACTCCAAGTGGCTTCTTTGTCTGGAAGATGAATGGTCTCAGTTGTGCGGCTGCTGTTCTGTGATAGCCGGGTTATGGCAGCTTATTAATCAAGTGGCTAGATGCCAGCGAAATTAGCACAAGCTCGGTGGCAATGGCAACTGAAACTGAAAGCTGAAAAATACTACAAGAGTCGGACAAGCGGAGAACGCTGTCTGCAATAGTCGATGTAAGTTTAATTATAATAAATGTCAGCTTTAAATATGCAATTAAGGCAATGTAAACCGCTGCCAACTAGATGGGAGGCATTAAATTAAGAGAGCCCAATATTAAGAACTTTACTTAAGCGAAATTTCATTTCTCAGGCAATCAAATAAATTGTATTTTTATCTCCGCCGCATTTTTATAAGCAAAAAATGTTGAATGAAGTAATTAAGGAGCTTGAATTATAGGTAAGAGTGTCAGTCACCTATATAGGCTATATTGTGTTGCTACCTTTATCTATTAACCATCTAATAGCCCCACCTTCTGGTGTAGAACTAGATCTCCAGTCGATAAGCACCGACAAGGCCATCTCTTGGGATTTGTGGAATTGCAAAATCTAACGCAAATATCATTCCAATGTGAGCTAATGCATAATTATCGCAATTAAGTTGTCGTCCATGCAATAAAAGCTGATTTCTACTCAACTTCAAGTCACTTTAAATAAACTAATTAATGTTCTAAGATTAAGGCAGGAGATTGTGCTAATTGCAGTTTCAACGCGTGTTGTGATTGCCATCAAAAGAGTCTAGAGGTTACATATGAAGAATCTATATAGACGATCTACCGATTCGAATACTCTATAATTTATAGCCAACATTTGCACCTTTCGAGAGGCATAGTTTTAAATCATTAGAGTGCATCCCATGGGGGCAGCGTGGGCGCCTGGGCCACAGACACACAATGTGGATGCAATATGTGGGGCTCCTGATTAATGGGCCCACTTGGAGGCCAGAAAGCGAAAACGATAAGGAGGATGGCTACTGCATAAATAAATTTATGGCATTGACGGCGGTGGCGGTAGCGGTGGCAATACACAAACACCATGTAAATCAATTATTCATGCCCCAGCAGGCAAATGGCATAAAAATGTCATACAATTTGTGGCAATTACAAGTAGCAGGCGATAAATATTGGGCGTTACTGGCGTTAGCCACAGAGCCATGATCCTTTGGCCAAAGAATATACTATATTCAACTTCTATAAGTTCTCTATAAATAGTTGGGTGAGTGATGGCGCTGGGTTATC